TGGAAAACTGTTATTTATGCTATAATCCTGGACCAGAAATAACTGTTGATGAACAATTGTTGCCTTGTAAATCAATATGTAGATTTATCCAGTACATGGCGAATAAACTGGACAAGTTTGGCATCAAATTCTGGCTAGCAGCTGATGTAAAATCCAAATATGTTTTGAATGGTTATCCTTATCTGGGCAAGGAATGAAGAACGACCAACTAGTTTACAACTTGGGGAAAGTGTAGTTCTCAAATTGCTGTAACCACATTCTAAATTCCGGACTCAATGTCACAACTGCCAATTTTTTTTTTACTTCCGTGAAACTTGCAGATGAACGTTCTGCGAAAAAAACCACAATTGTCGAGACGATGCGTCTGAATAAGGGATAATTACCCCCTATTGCTCGTGATACTTCCTCGACACGATATTCATCTTTTGCACTGAAAAATGAAGACAAAACATTCACAATATAAAGGTGCAAGAGCAGAAAGAATGACGTGATTCTGAGCACGATGCACAGTAATGTGTTTGTTGATGACAGCATAAAGAAGAAACTGAACACTGTCACTTATTATAACAGTACAAGATGTGGCATTGATGTCGTAGGTCAGATGCTGAGGAAATATCTCACAAGTAGTGAAAGTCGCAGGTGGCCTGTACATGTTTTTTACAACGTCCTTGACATTGCTGCACTCAATACTTGGATTATATTCAAAGAATTCTTGGGCACCTCTATTTCCCGTCGAGAATTTATTCTTGCACTCGTGGAAGAACTACGAGTTGGTGCACTACGCAACAGATGCCCCCCCGATTGCTCAAATACAGACACTTAAACGAAAGAAATGTGCATTTAAAAGTTGCAAAGGACAAAACAAGACTGTTGTCAGCTGTGAGGGATGCCAGAAACCAATTTGTGGTAAATGTGTTGCTGTCACTGTCATATTGTATCACCTGCGGTAATGTATAACAAACTTTGAAAAACATTGTGTGTTTATTCCCAATTTAGGTTTTTTTGTAATTTTTTCCATATGTTCTATTTTCCACTTTTTGCATTTGTATCTTTTGTTTGTTTTTCATAGATTTTGTTTTTGTAATCTTACATTGAAAGATATTGTGTGCTAATTTGCACTAATTGCACGAAAAAAAATTCTAAAGTATAAAAAATAAATAAAACCCTCTAAAAACTCTTTTATGTGGTCATTTCAATCATTTACTGTGTTTCTACTTACGTTTCTTATGAGGGTCAAATTGACCCCCAATGGCGGTTTTAAGTTAGTCTGAAATTCAGCTGTTCTAGTGTTAATAAAAATAAGCAAAATGATTTAACCAAAATTTACATCATAGATCATTTTGGTTAATCTTCGGATTATGGTAACTTGGCGATTTTTTTGGCGACCAACCCTGCTATTACAGCAACCTGCTAGTTTTTTTTTTTTTTTTTTTTTTTTTTGAAGCCTTTTTGTTTTCAAGAAGTAAAGGCATTTTTTTTTTTTTTTTAACTTAACATTTTTTTTCCAACAATCTGATAGCCGAATTACGCTTATGCTAGAACTTTTATGGAACAAAAGTGCTTAATCATGACGAAGATTAGGTTCGAAATTGAGAGAAAGTGCAGAATCGCCCACTGCTTGCCGCATTTTTAAGAATTGCACATACATGGTATCCATGTACACGTCGACCTATTTTCACTTAAAAAAACATCCCAGAATTGCACAAAAATGGCATTGCGCACACTCTGACTTTATCCATGTACACTGCTAAAGTCCTAGCTAGTAATCTTTATCGCCTTACCAAAATGTCGCGAAACTACCTGTTACCATATTCCAAAGATTAGCCATCATTTTAATTTACTCTCTGAATTACTTTGAATGTGGAATTAAATCTCACAAAATTTAGAATGTGAGCACTTACTTGTTGTCCCTTTTAGATTCAGTTAATAGGCTAAGATTTTAAATTTAGATTCTGTTAATAAGCCTAGAGAATTTATTTTCTAATGAATATATTGATTTTTTTTTTAAATCTCCTGAAAGAAGTTTCCTAACTATATGCAGTTTGAAGGAAATTTGTTGCTATTTTCACAGATTTTATAGTAATATTTGTCAAACCCCAAAGATGCATCAGTTTTTAATTTTGACTTTAATAGAATAAAAAATCTAAAACATAATTTTGGTTTAGCAGGGATAGTAATGCTAAGGTTAGAGCTTATTTTTTGAAAAAAGTAATTTACAGCTTTACAGATGAGTTACTTTTATTCCAATGTAAGGAAATTTTACAAAGCAGAATATAACTACATCATCAAGAAATTGTCCAAATATTTTAAATGTGTTTCTGAAGCAAGCTTTCTTTATACTTTGGATGCTTAGTAATGTATGTTTCTTTGAGAATGAGGGTTTCATTTTCTTCTGTTCATTACGTAGCTTCATGTTCAGAAACCTGGCTGATGATGTTAATCTACTGGGAATTGAATGTGCAACTTACCAGTTTACTGATTTTTATGAGAAAGTCCTCGATACTCTGGAATCAATACAGAATGGCACATTGTCACAATTGCACGATGAAGGCAGGAAGTACTATTTTGGAAAACTTGGAGAAGTAACACTATTTTCTAGTGCCGTACAACAATGGCTGAAAGGACTTTTGGCATCATGCAGAATCAAATTCACTTAAAATCTGGTTTATCCATTGATACAATGTTATGTACTTCTTGTTTAGGAAGTGAAATCATTTACTCACAATAATTTTACTAGAATAAGTTTAACTCTGAAAAGTTGGCTGCAGTAAGAAGAAAATGCTGGCATGTAACAAAATTGACCTTCAAAGTCAGGGATAGTAATGTGGGGAAATGCATTTTCATTCTTTTAATCTCTTGTTTTTTTAAGAAAATTATGTCTTTTATGTAGTGCAACATGCAGTTTATGTTGTTGAATGTGTTCCATTCAGTTTGGGAATACTTGAGTGTTGCAATACTAATTCAGTTAAATGTCATTGATAGCCCTGGTCAAAGGTTGTAATTTCTGCACATGTACATTTATGTGCGCATCATGTGCATTAATTTTTGAATCCTATCATACATTATAGAGCATAATCATTTTAAAGGAAGTGTTTTTAGATTTTTAAAGGCCTGGTAATAACAAAAGGTTACAAATCATATATTGTATGTAGATTCATGAAATTGAACTATTTCGCTAGGCTTCAGATTGATGTATGCATGGCAATGCTGCATATGTTTTGTGTAAACCTTTCAAAGGTCCTTGTATTATTTTTATTGCAGCTGTAGTAGATGGTACTATTATATCACAACGTAATGTAGAAATGCTTGATTGATGATATGACTGATATGATATACCGTCTTTTTCCGAAAATAAGGCCTATCGTGATTTTCGGAACTTTTTGTAAAATAAGACATCCTCCGAAAATAAGCCCTATCATGATTTTCGGAACTTTTTGTAATATAATTTGTTTTTGTATATAATTCAGAATTTTATGTATGACGATGTTCCAGAAGAATATGACGACTGTAATTGAATAAATTTAAATTTCTGTATTCTGTGTAAAATAAATATTAAATAAAAATATATAAATATACTTTTATTTTTGCCCTCCCCCGAAAATAAGCCCTAGCGCGTATTTTGGATCAAAAAAGGAAGTAAGACAGTGTCTTATTTTCGGAAAAAGATGGTTCTTGTTTATGTATGAAAAGATTAAGCAATTAGTCATCATGGGTCTTGCCAAGTAACATATTTTTAGTACTTTGCTGCAAAGAACAGTATTTATAATTCAAAATTTTGTCTATTGGTTTCAGAAAGCACTAAATATATAATTTAGCACTTTTTCTAAATTTTAAGAAAATATGCTAATGTGTAAGTGTATATGGGTATATACCCAGTTATTGATTTTAATACTGTTCGGTTTCGAAGGCCGTAAAAAATCGCCAAACTATTGTTGATGCCAATGCTGATAAAAAATAATTGCGGCAAGAAAGGAAGTATAATAGTAAATAACTATCTAAGATTGATGTTTTAATTTAGATGAAAGGTTAATTTCATGTAATACTTTTTTATTATTGTAATTTATATGAAAAAAGCTAAACATGACTGAATGGAAGCATAAGAGTAAATAGCTATTTCAGATCATTATTATAATTTATATAAAAATTGCTAAACATAGCTGAATGGATGCCTGCATCGCTATTTCGCTATTGACTTATCACTAAAGCATAATTTCATCTCATTGGTTGTTCAAACGTAATTTTCTATAATGAATGATGCCTTTTCTTTGAAAATATTCTCGGTAAAGTGCAGAATCACTCACTCGTTTGTTTGTCGCTTTTTAGAAGGGTAAAAACAATTGAATTTTTGTCAATTTTCTTTTACATTTTAAGTGAAATTAGGTCAATGTGTACATAGATAAAGTCAAGGGTGTGTGCAGTGCCATTTTTGTTCAATTCTAGGATTTTTTTTAAGTGAAAATAGGTTGATGTGCACTTGGATATCGAGTATGTGCAATTCTTAAAAGCACGTCAAGCAGTGGGCGATTCTGCACTTTACCCAAAATTCTGTTGCCGACTTTTCGTCATGGGCAATCCCCAAATTGTTAAATCCATAGGATATCAAAAAAGGATTTAAAAATTAAAATAGTATGTCAATGGCGTCTTAAGAAATATAGAACTATATAAACTTACGCAATCTGAAATCTACGCGTACGCTAAATTTGGCGCGCTGTTTAATGGACGCGTTTGCTAGATTTGGCGCTTTTGTGCATACGTTTTCGCTGCAATTTTTTTACGTCCCTCAAAACCGTATAGTACCTTGATTTTTAATGTTTATATGTTCAGATTTTATGTATAATATTTGTAATAGCTATTCATAGTATTAACATTGTTATTCTGATAATTTTTTTCATTCAAGAATATTTTTGGGTGCTATCTGAAGTATTGTTTAAGTGTATTATTAATTATATGTAATGTTATTAAATTTGTTACATTTATGTTTTTTTTTTCTCCTGAAACAGGATACTGCTGGGCAGGAAAGATTCCATGCTTTAGGCCCTATTTATTATAGAGATAGTAATGGAGCTATATTAGTTTATGATATAACGGATGAAGACTCTTTCAAAAAGGTTGTGATATAGACTTTGTTTTTTGTTGAATTTTTGCCCCAAATTATTTATCATATTGTAGGGAAAATATTACAGTAAGCTATGTTTCTTAATTAATCAAAAGTATACTTTTTTCACATTTGGATAGCATCTCGTTTCATTCAAACACTAAATTATGCATTTCTAATAAAGTATAGACTGAAATTCTTTTGCAATAAGAGAAGTGCTGCCAGAATTTTATATACCCACATTAATATTCTCATGCTTAAGTGTGCAAATGAGAACAGTTTTTATACAAAAGTTTAAGAAGTTTATTTGCTAAGGCACCTGTTAAACTTGCTTCATCATGTTTGAAAGTGCTAATTTTGTTGCTATAGTGGGTTTAAGTCAAAGTTTCTTTGTTTTTACTTTCTAATAGTTTAGATGTGTCAAAAAAGACTATAATGTAAAACCAGAGCTTTAAGGAATAAGAGTAACTTCACAAAAGTGTAAGAAAGTGTTAAACAAAATTTTATCAGCTAAGGCAGATGTGAAAAATAAGCAGTCCAAGCAAACTCAAGCTGAAATTAAATTTTTTTCTTTTAAATTGTGAAATTTAAAAATATTTACGAAAAGTTGAGAATTACAAAGTTTTCATAAATTACCCACAGTGGAGAGCTGTAAATATTATTTCAGTTTCATACTTGTAAAAATTATAACATTTTTTGGTTTTAATGGATGCATTGTAGTGCATTACGGCTTTAAGTTAATTTAACAAAATTATAAAGATCTTTTATCAGCGTGTACGAAAGAGAAAGCCTTTGGCACCTCAGGTAACAAAGTATGTTGATAATCGTTTTACTCAAAGAATGTTGTTAGTGCTATTGTGGACCTTTTGTATATGCTGCAGATGGGTCAAGCTTTACCCAAGCAATGGTTAAGCAGTTGGTTCACATTATGTTTTTGAAAAATTATAATAATATTCCATTTTTTAACTGAATTTTCTGCTGCTTGCTTCAGCTGTCTGTAAAGGTATGATTCTGAAAAGAGAATAAGAAAAGAAATGGATAAGTTCTTTCTGTCAGAATACTCATTGGAGAAATTATGTTAATTTTTCCCCTTAGTAAAACAATATTCAGATTTGCCAAATATAGATTTTAGAAGCTCCATGTATCGTTTAAACTTTTTCTCACACACACATAGAAATCAGGCTGTTAAGCCTTTCAGAACTGGCGTCCCATATACGCATTTCCTAAGAACGTCTCTTACAGCCGGGGGTCCCATCCATGCATCACTAGAGATTGCATTAAGAGGAGGGGATCTTACACATTTTAGCTAGATTTTTTCTGAGCCACTAGATGGCATCCTAATCCATTACTTTAATGACCGTTTAAGTCCGACGTTGAGTTGATTACAGTACACTCCCGATTATCCGCGGAATTGGGTGGCGCGGCCGCCGCGGATAACAAAAATCGCGGATAATCCGAAAAAAAGCTAAAAAAACGGATATAGCAAAAGAGAAAACAGTCATTCCAACTTTGAAAAATCGTTTTATGTACAATAACGTAAAATAAATAAACAGCAGGAAATGTTTAACTAACGCTTAATATTTTAGTATATCACTCAAAACTAACCTAAAATGCATTTTGTTAATGAAAACAGAAAAGTGCTTTGTATACTTACGAGAGGCGTCAAGGATACACAGAAAAATTAATACATATGTACTGTTTTAATACTGTAATGTATTATGTAATTACAAAAGCATAACTGTAAAACTACACCTTTTTGAAGAAATCAGTCATTTGTGTTTGCTTTCTTGCTTTGGAAGCATTTTCTCTTGATCCGAGATTGCATTTTTCGTAGCATAAGTTTCTCGGCCAACTCCGCGTCGTCTTGTTCTTCCAAATAGCTCAGCAGTCCGTCGACTTGTTGCAAAGCCGCTTCGTGAGTCTTCCGCATCTGCACAGTGGGCTCTTCTTCGCTGTCTTTCATTCTTCATAATTTCGTCATCTGTCAAGCGTTCAAAGCCAGGTTCGTTGACGTCACACTCCAACCACTCGTTAATGTTTTCAGCATCGACGTTCTCACCACCCGGAACTGTTTTCACCATATCGGCAAGAGTTGGCGTGGGCGTGTCTACATCTTCATTCTCTTCCTCACAACTCAAAGGGGTTAGGTTGTTGTTGGCTTCAACATTAGGCATGAGTTTTCTCCATGATTTTATGAGGGTTGACGGTTTCACTGAGTCCCATGCAGATGCAATATCGTAGATGCTGTCCAAGATTGTGTAGTGTTTCCAAAACTCTTTCAGATCATAACCTTCTTCAATTTTGGTCATTAGCAGCTTGGTTCGGTATGTTCTCTTCATTGTTGCAATGACTCCTTGGTCCATGGGTTGGATTAGCGCAGTAACGTTTGGGGGAGAAACTTTGCAAAAATTTGTCCATCAGAAGACTTTAGCACGCTTGTTGCTGGGTGAGAAGGTGCGTTGTCGATCAATAGCACAGCTTTTTCAGGCAGGTTTTTCGATTTAAGATGTTTACGCACTTGAAGAACAAAGATTTTTTCGAACCATTCTTGAAAAATGTTTCGGTTCATCCATCCTTTTTTTTTTTTTTTTTTTTTTTTTAAAGTAATCAACGGGCAAATTTTCTATCCTTGTGCCTTTGAAAGATCTCGTTTTTTTTTTTTTTACTTTCCAATGACAACAAGTCTAAGTTTATGTCCACCGGTAGTAGCGTTACTGCAAGACATGATAGTGATCCTTTCCTTGCTGCTTTTATGACCCGCCGCTTTACTTTCACTTTCAAATGCTAAAGTGCGAGTGGGAAGACATTTCCACAAAAGTCCCGATTCGTCGGCATTGTAAATTTGTTCAAAAGATAGCTCTTCTTTTAAAACAAATTCTTCAAATTCATGGTGGAAATCGTCGGCTGCTTGTTGGTCACCACTAAGTTTCTTCCCATGAAGTCCAATTTCTCGAATTCCATGTCGCTGCTTAAAACGAGTCAACCAGCCAGAAGACGCATCAAAATTTCCTTTCAGGCCTAACAACTCAAAAAAGGTTTTTGCCTTCGCCGCAATGATAGGACCATTTACAGGAGTACCCTCTTTTCGAACTTGAGCTAACCACTCTGTCAATGCCGTGTCTAGCTCATCAAAGGTAGAACCTTCATAGTTTTTCGCGTTTTCATTGCGGAAGCACTGTCCGACATTGATGCAAAGTTCACCAGTTTGTCTTTTTGCTTTAGAATGTCACGCACTGTTGTTTCCGCGATTCCGTAATCCAATTCCATCTGCTGCCTTGTAGCGCCGTTTGCTACTTTGGAAATTAATTCTAGTTTTTGCGCAATCGTCAACACAACCTTCTTTTGTTTTCCTGACATTTTAAATCGGTAACGAAAAACAAAACCAAAAAGCACAAGCACTGAACACAATAAAAGATAAGAAATTAACTCCGACCGGTTCGCAAACACTATCAGGCTTAAACTAACAATGGCGAGTGGGAGGAAGTGGACGTGTCAGTAAGATTAAGACGAGAGAGGGCGGTGGAGCGGGCACTGCAAGGGTGAGTAAGAAATCAATTACTCATCAGAGGGGAAGGTTTCGAGAAGGTTCCGAGAAGGCCTGGGATATTTTTGCTATAAATAAGCACGATGTTAGCAAATTTAATGTTTCACTCAGTTTTGTGAACATTTTTTTTTTTTTATTTTTGCTTTACGCTTGAAAAAAAAAAACTGTGTGGCAGGCTTGGATAATCCGCTCTACGGGTAATCCCCCCGCTGATAATCGGGAGTCTACTGTATCTACTGTATTCTGCCTGACCTATGGTATTTTACTCATCAACTGTTGCTAGGGTGGGGGGAAGGGAAAGGGTAAACAGAGGTGGGCTCTTTAAATCACCGTGTGCTGATATAAACATTCACGTGTCTGATTTAATATATCCAATTCCTTTTTTTATTATATTTTTTCCCTCTACTATGTATAGTCTTTTAGGGTTACTATGTGGAGTTCTGTTACATTTTGCATTGCCTTCAGATATATTTCCATTTCTTCTCTTTTTATTTCAGAAAGCCTTCACCTCCAGTCTATTACGGCGGGAAGGCACTATTTATCAGAGGAAGAATACCCTGGTATGGTTAGTGAACCTGGTCATATGGTTAGTGGTCATATGGTCGTATGGTATACCTGGTCGTATGGTTAGTGAACCATTTATTAACATAAATGAGAGTAATGATTCGTTTTCTAAAGAGTTAAAAAGTGATACTTTTTCTAAGAGTTAGAATGTGATACTTCTCTGTGCTTTGAGATTTACCACACTCAGTCTTTATTTTAAATTATTGTTACTTCTTACTGTACATAGTCTTTAATTGGTGTTTTTTTTATTAATTTCAAACTTTATTGATGGATTTTATCAATTAAAACTTTGGAATAATTTGAATAGCACTTCCGAAAACTATTTTACAAAATAAGCAATTTTTTAAGCATATTTTCATGTAAAGAAAAAAACTTAATTAAGTGTTAATTTTAATATATGTAAGAGCTCAAGTAATAATCTAAAATGATACCAAAAATTACGATGCTAGAAGTGAAACTATTTATTTTTTTTATATATAAAATTAGGCTTAGCGATGCAAAACCTCTATCCTGTACAGTGACTGCCTTCGATTCCCTTCCGTCCCGCATGAGTGTCTTAAACAAAGGTGCGCCACCACGAAAGGGTTAAGTGTGTTCGTTTGAAATCTGATTTCACAAGCAGTATGTTAGAAATGCAGCCTGAAGATATAATACACAGCACAAAGATATCACAGCAGTGTTAATCTCGATATCATAATGCTGATCCCATAATTAGTAGTGCTATTAAATGTTTGAAAATGTATGTGCCGAAGTTGTTTTTTTTTTTTTTTTCAATTTGTAATGCAACAATTAATTTGCAATTAACAGTGCAAAGTTTTGGGGGAGTTGAAATTTAGTTAAATTTATTACATTATGGAAACATTTTATAAGTTTACTGAAAATTTCTTCAGATTATTGAATGTTTGAGAAGCTGACTTAAATCTTACAAGTAATTTTGTAAAACACTTTGCATTTTTAGATACATAGAAAAAATTGGATGTAAAAATGCTAAAATTTGTTCATGAAACTTTTTGTATTTATTTGTTAATTTAATTTGTAATTTTGTTTCAGTTGAAGAATTATGTTATGACTTTCTTGTCCTATATGTCAATTGCATTTTCCAGGTCAAGAATTGGGTGAAAGAATTGAGAAAAATGTTAGGTGATGATGTTTGCCTTTGTATAGCCGGAAATAAAACCGATTTAGAGAAAGACAGGGCAGTTCCAGTAGGAGAAGCTGAAGCGTAAGTAAATTAGGCATGTTTCTTATTTATAAATCTCTAAAACATCTTATTTGGATTATTTACTCATTGTGCTGTATCATTTATTTTCAAGGTATGCAGCTTCAGTGAGAGCCAAACATTTTTCAACATCAGCAAAGCAAAATAGAGGCATTGAGGAAATGTTCTTAGATTTAACTCGAAGTACGTATAAATATGATTAGTTATGTTTATTAGAAGCTAGTGTTGTATAAATATGATTAGTTACATTTATTAGAAGCTAGTCTTGTATGGATATGATTATTTAGATTTATTAGCGGCTAATCTTCTATTTTAATGTCACTTAAGAAGTAAACTTACATTTTATTTCTGCAGATATAATTTATTATTCTTTAGGAGTAATGCATATATATAAAAAAACCTTTGTTAGAAGTTTCTAAAGTATTAAGTTATTTTATAAAGTAAACTGTTGTTATGTTTATTGCTTTTATATAATTCTGAGGTAATATAAATGAAGTATGTGAACATACCTAACAGAAATTCAAAAAAGTCAATGAGACCAAAATTTCACCGTATGACTAAAACTTTGCTTATTGGTAATCTTGAAAATCTATAAAAAATAAGTATAACAATATCATGTATATAATAAAAATTCAAATTTTATATGTAGCGCTGTGAAAGGGAAAAGCATAACCATATATCTTTCTCTGTGGGCAACTGGTTGATAAAATACAAATTTCATGTTTAAAAGCAGGATAATTTGGGACTGAGGTGGCTCAAGCTTGGTCAGGAAAATTTATTATTGCTCATCGCAAATATTATGCAGGTTTGTTTTTGTGCATTTTTTCTGACATTTAATACACTTTCAGATCAAAAGTGATAGGCACTGACTTGAGATATGAGAGCAATATACGTAACCTAATTAAATGTTTTTAGCAGGAGACTTGGATCGATGCTTTGAAGCAAATATATGTATGAATGAAATTTGTGTATTATGAAAGCTAGGGAATTGCTGCAAAGGATCTGACTGATGACATCTTTGAGATTTAATAATCAATGGATAGGAAACATGCCTATGTAAAACATAAAAGTAGGCAAAAAAGCTACTCAATTTTTGGCAGAGGTTTTCGAATAAAACTATTGATTTCAAAAGTAAGAACAGGGACTTTGTTCTTCAGACACAAGTCCCTGTTCTTCAGAAACAAAAGAATTCCTGTAAAATGAGAGGATCAACAACCATATTTAAACCAAAAGTAGATCAAACTGAATACAAACATAGTGCCTTGAAGAAAAGAGACATGAAAAATTAAAGAAATTGGAATTTTAAAATTTGTTTTGTTCCTGAAGAAGAGGAACTCTATTTGATAACCTTCATAATTCATAGTTTTATTCTGAAATTTGTAGTTTTTCTTTAATCTAATTTTGAATCTTTAGGAATTTTTTAAACAGTAGCAGAACACTGAAAATTGAATTTGGTTACTTTGTTGCTTCTTGTAAGCATCCACTACGTAATTAACTTTTATTCCACTTCATTATGGAATTTTGAATACTCTTGCATGTGGGCTTGATGTTGGATCTGGTTACATAGATAGTTTAAAATAAATAATTATTGTCATCTTGAAATTATTGGCATTTATTATTCCAGGGCTCTTGCCAAATATTGCCTAAATACACAGTGTGGCTGATTGTGTGAGTGCAGAAATCGGCTAATGTATGTACAAAAATGTGCCACCTGTGGTTTTAAAAAAGTACTTTAGTACAGTACAAAGTCCGAGCTCTGGATTCATCAGGACTTCGGCGATTCCGGATTTGGGATTTTTCTGGATATTAGATCATCAGTTTAAATCTAGTAAGATGGCATGTAGAAATAAATTATAAAATAAAAAATATGAAACTGATTTATGAAATAATGAAGGATTTATGATCTAAAGGGTATCAAAATTTACAGAAAAAAGGCTTAATATTTATTTCTTTAATTATTAAACATTTCTGTCAATTTAAGTTTTTTAAGTTGCCTCTTTTTTATGCAAATACCTTCTCTTGAATTCTGTAGACAGACGTAATTTCTTGTTAAGCCATAAAGTTCCATTGTTCAAGTCCTGTAATTGCTGTGTCAATAATTTTGACTAACTTGTCGATCAAAATTTTTTCGTTTTCAGTAGCCTCTCTGTTACTTTCTTCACTATTGCTAGCGGTATTTTCTGGATCTAGAACCACAATACAGATTTTGCTGTTAAATGAGGTTATCTCATCATGTAAAAATAATGGGGATAGGGGAAGATGGATAAAAAGTTGGTCAGGTATTTTACCATTAAATTTATTGTTTTTATAACAATAAAACAAAAAATTATTACTTACAAATATAGAAACATAAGCATATATTTATACATATAAAAATAAATTCTAAGTTAGTATGTTTACATTTCAGATCATTCAGTCTCTTCTGTATTTCCAAGTTTCTGCCTTTATATCAAGAAGGTATCTAATGTAATTTGCGTTTTCCTTTGCGCTCTGTAAGAAATTGTTGGTAAGTGGATAAGGCATCCATAACACCCTGTCTCACCTTTGAACTGTCAAAATTTGGGTCATTTTCAATAAATTGGTCCATAATTTCTGTTATAGTGGTTAAACTGGTTTTTAGAAACGCTGTTGAAAGTTTTTGCTCTTCTTCAGAATCACTACTTAAAATATTTTTGTGTTCTTCTTGGTCCACTAATTCCTTGAGCTCATCATTAGAAAGACTTGCTGCTGTTTCTTGCACTATTTCTTCGACATCTTCCACATTTAGCTCATCCAAACTGGTTTGTTTAGCTAATTCCACTATTTTATTCATATCAACAAAGTGTCCAGTGTCACCGCCCTTGCTTAGATCTGGCCAAATGCTCTTCCACACCCCTTTCAAACATTTTTCTGTTATCTCGTTCCAAGAAAGGTTTATGTTTTCTATAGCATTCATGATTTTGTAGTTTTTCCAAAACTCTCTTATTGATTGTTTCACAAACTGAAACGTCGAAGAAGAAACATTTTGTCAGAGATCGTTTTTCTTAACACGTGTTTCTCAATTTCCTGTACACATGGCAGGGGGGGGGTAATTCTCGCCGGCAGGTTCCATCGCCAAATCTTTTGGCGAATTTACCCTCTGCTTTCCAGTGGCATAATAGCAAATTGGTTTACATTATGTCTATGGAACCTTTCTTTCTTTACATAGATATTCTTTGCCCTAAAGCTGTGTGCAATTTTGGGGAATCCCACAATTCAAATAAAAGAGCGCTAAACGAAACAGCTTTAAGCGGGGTTTTACTGTACTAAAATGTATTGGTTTGAGATGTATGCCAAGCAGATACACAGCTATGGAGCCAAATTATTGATCATACAAATTTATGTTAAAATGATTGTTTCTTCAGTAATGAGGTATTTTATTTATTGCCGCAGTAAAATTAAGAATCAAGACTCTCCATGTATTTTATTATGGAGGAAAAAAATCAAATGTGCATGCGTAAAGCATTCAGAAAATTGTTTTTGGCTATGAGGTCCGGATAGGACATCCAGATCTCTGACTTTGTACTGTAGTAAGTTTCGGTTATGTAGCAGTGTTCTAATTCAAACACAATGCACCTTGAATTAAATGAATTTGGACGCCCTTCTGTCGACCACTTTTAATAAATCTCTATTTTCATAATTACAAGTTTTTATTCAGTTTGTTATTTTCTTACCTTAATTTTTTTTGTGTTCATTGCAAATATGGCAACTACAGGTACTGAAAGAATAAGAAAAAGGTAAAGAGATTTCATCTATATTTTATTAAACTGTGTTTAGGCTAACTTCACGCTTAAGTATTTTAATACCTGAAAATTGCTGTAATTTGTACTATAGTAATCGAAAACTTCGTTAACAGAGATGAAATTTTCAGTTATGCAAATTTTTGTCAACGGTTTTTCTGAAATCATCTTTTAAAAATTCTAAAAATAAGTGCGCAAGCACAACTCTTAATGTTTTAACAAACTCTTTATTACTAGATAAAATTTGTTTCCTTTAATTAACGAGTAATCTCTGCTCGATTTTATTTCATGCTAAAACTGGAGGAAACAGATGCCTTCAAAACATACACAAACTGTCGAATTTCTTACATGCATTTTTATGAGACAGTTTGCTTCAAAAAAGTATGCTAGCCTTTTATTGCGGTATCTTACAACTCTATCAGCGACCATATCGTGCCAGTTTTGATATTAATTTTTTCTCAATGTTATATTTTCTGAAGTTTATGATGGAAATTCAAGTTCATGTATATATCAATATTTCATATTCATGTTAAAAATAAATTTTGTTGTTTTAATCTGGGAACTATGAATTATTTGTATTGTGTAGTTTTCAAATGCCAAGTCATCTTATTCTAATGATAAATATGAATGCTATCTAGGTGTTAAAATTCCCTTTTAATGGCAATCATGTTTAAATTTACAGGAATGATTGAAATTTCTGAAGCTAATGATCATCGAGCTAATAGTTTAGGCAGGGTAGGAAATCAGAGACGAAATGTAGTGATTGTTGATGATGAACCACAGCAGCAAAGAACTGGATGTTGTGGCGGTGGTTGATGTTTTTGTCATGTTTTATGGAAAAATTACTGTACCCCATATACAATTAGATGCTACTGCTTGAAATTTATTCTGAAAAGTAAATTAAGCTCTGTAGGAAACAAAAGTATTAAAATCTGAAAATACCATGTGGCATTTTTAAAGTTTTTATATTTAATATTTATGTTTTAATTTAGCATAGTCACCTACTTCAGACAAATAACCTTGTAAATTGAATCTGAATTTAAGTATATTTTTCCAGATTTGCTAAAGCACTTTCAGGATATTTTGATAAATCTTAGGTGATAAAGGGGATACTAATAGAAATATTTTGAGAAAGCTAGTTTTATGTAATGAGATTTATACAACTTTAGTTAATTCTTTATATGTCTTAGTTATTGAATGATCCAAAATATTAAAACGTAATTGTTTATTAGCTATGTTCCGAATGTTCTGTGTGTGAAGAGCTTCCAAACGATTAAATTTATTTTTTAGCTGTAACATATTTTTAAAATAATCATTTTCATGTAAATAATATTTAAGATTTAATCAGCATATTCTTTTTTTAGCTACAGTAGCTTGCTTGTAGTAAATTCAGGATTCTTCCTGCCTAAATAGTTCTGTAATTTTATTTAAACAAATTGTTGTTAAAAAATTAACTTCCAAAATTGATTCCTAGTAGAAGAGAGGCAATGGTCATAGCTTTTAATTTTAAATATTTCTATCAAAAATTGCTGCACACTTTTAAATATACATGCGAAATGCTTTAATTATTCTGTAAATTAATGCCTGTTTTATATAAATATGATCTTGCAGTACTTTTCAAGAGGACATTTCTTGTCAAGATATAACTTTTTATAATATTTATGAGTAGGTGACAGCAAAATGAAATAGTTAAGTGCCACAGAACTTGTGATATGTTTTTGTTACAAACTAAAAGGGCTGTAATTTTTCCATGTATTTATGTTCCTAAAAGATTAGCTAAGCAGTAACAGAAAATTATTTTCGAAATATGTTTTGTTCAGTTTTGATTAATGTAATTTCACAAATTTAAAGTGTATGTGAATGTTTACTTTTAAATGTAAAAAGAGTTGTAGCTAATCTTGTTATACTTCAAAACTTTTTGTGGAACTTTTATATGTAATATATATATAAATAATGAATATATATATACACACACGAGTCAATAAACTGTGTCAACATACAATGGTTTAAATGGAAATTATTTGTTATGGTGAGATCAACAAACTAAATGCAGGCTTATAAAATTTAATTGTATAAACAACAACAAAAAATAAAATAAAAACACTCTAGATCACATTAGAAAAGTTTAATGAACAGAATGTACAGCCTATTTATTGCCATATTAACATATGAATATGTATAATGAACATAAACTTTTAAAGAATTGTCTACATTTTCTATTCTGTATCATTTCTTTCTCATATGAGGTCAAAAATATTTAACATTACAGAATTAATTTTTACATAATGGACACAGTCTTCAGAACAGAAGAATAGGCAGTTTCATTTGTAGATTAACAGCAGCATTATATATTCTTTTAAATGCTTCATTGCTAGAATATAGAAATATCTGTACACACAAGAAAATAAAAAGGAAATAAATGTTTTGTATACATGCAGTATCACAGAAATTCATCTTGTGATTGTTATATTCATTTTAGCAGTATACAGCTAATAAAGTTTGAATAGAGTAAATAGTACTTAGCTTTACATTTCATTATCATAAAGCTTTCTAGAATTCAAGAATTTTATTACTTGTTAGGAAATGCTCTGTGATTGCATTGAGGAGAAGTACTGCATTTGTTGTGGGACTAAACATTTTAAATATTTATGATATTGAATTAAAAAGGTCTAGAGATACATTATTAGAAAAACATCTCATGAAAATAAAAAATGAACAGCTGAATTACCAACTATAAGTAACGTAGTTAAGTAATACAGATTAAGGGGACACACAGTACCCACTTGACCTTTTTTTTTTACATTTTCCAACTTATGATGGAAAATTATACTTGTATTTTACAAAATTCAAATTCTGTTTGTAATGCCTTGTTTTAAAGTATTACTAAGCTGCTTGTCTAAATAAAATTTTAAATTACACCTAAAAATTGTTACATTATTAAATACTGATACTTTTGCACTTTTTTCTTGTACACTCCTTGAGATATAGTACATAAAATTATGAATAGTTTTCAGTGCTTGTTATTAAACAAAAACCCTTGCTCTCAACCCCAGTGAAGAAATGCAAAAACATCCATGTTGAAATATTAAAAAAAATGTGACAACAAAGGTTACTCTATGTTTGTCAAATAAAATGATAAGCATGCATCAAAAATATGAAATCACTATCTTAATTACAAACCTTAACATTTTTAAAACATGTATAGAAAAAATTGAAAAAGAAAAGTCACTTTAATAGAAAATCTGTCAGTTTTTATCAAATAAAGATATGAAATGTCTCACATATCTAAATTCAAAACAAAATATTTTGTTTTAAAATGTTTAAAAAATTCAAAAAAATTTTCTTTGATGACAGTTTTGGCTAAATTGCTGCTCTTTGTTGATGCACATTTGCATTATACTTTAAATAAGGAATTTGCAAACAGAATTTGGAAAAAAAAAAAAAAAAGAGGCTGGTTTAAAAAAATTTAAATTATTTAACAAACCTTTTTTTTATAAATTATAACTACATTTTTAAATATTGTGGATATTTTTGGATGCTTCTGTTATTGAATACAATGAAACTTTCTACTGTAGTTCATCAGAAAAAAATAAATTTTAAACTAGTTTGCAGAAAGAAAAGGATAGTAGTTAGAATATTTCAAAAAAATTAAGTATGAATGTTAATTTCCATTCTCAGTTTTATCAAAAGTATACTAAACGTGCCAAAAAAAACCCTTTATCTTCATTATGAAAAAAGTTTTTAATATCTTAAAACATTTGAGAACTAAAAGTTAACTTCAAGGAAAATCATTTAGCTTACCACCTCCACTTCAAACTAGTCTATATAATTATTCCTTTCACTTCACTCTTGCCTTATGGCAGGAAGAAATAAAATAATTTGATATTCCATTAGGTTTATGACATTAGCAGATGGCAGCTATTTAAAAAAAATCTCTTTAAATGGCTGGCATCAAATATAAATAACCTAATAACTTTTGAATTGGTGAAGGTACAGCTTTGAGATTTTTCCTATGTATTTGAATGGGTTACAGCTAGAAACGTTAATTAAAGAAAAAACATTTTTTTTAGTACTAGGTCCCCTTAGAAGTTATCTGTATATTTTATACTTTTCATTTCTAATCAATTAACCATTTAATATGAAAATAAATAAATAACATTTTTAACATGTAAAACCTTAGCATGGATAAAACAAATCAGTAACTATTTTTTATAACATTCAGGAGCCATTGTTTCTTCTTATTATTAAGATGCTGACATTGTAACGTATGTTACTATCAAGTATACTCTAAAAATACAAATCAAGATGGTTACTCAAAAAAATCTATCCGAAACTTAAGTTCACTAAATGCAGAGTAAAAGTTAAAACATAGCTGTCAAGTCATTTTTTAAAAGCAATTTATACAGTAAGTAAAATATATTCCAATAACACTGCAAGGAGCAATGGCATTTGAAACTAAAAAAGCTGTTATATAATTATAAATCTATAACTTCAGCTTTAAATAATATTTTACTATTGTTATTTTTTATAATTTGCTTTTATTAAATTATATTTTTAAACCTGAAATAGAATAAGAATTCAATACACGATACAGGTGGAAGAAACCTGGATTAAAAAGCTCTCAAATCGAACATTTTGACTTAATTTCCAGTGTGTAGAATATCTAATTTAAGTCAAAAATAAAAATTTATTACAGAGATGTAAGCTTGTCAAAAAAATTGCTACAAACTGCATTAAATATGTTCATTTGTAATTTGCATTAAATTGAAAATGTGCTTGTATTACAAATAATAAATATGGCAGTTATATATCATGTTAGACATGAAGTTTCACCGGGGCAGAAAAGTTATATTATGAGTAATGTGTAAAGCAGGAGGAAAATATACATTTTTTGGGGGTAAAAAAATTCAAATATGTGAAAAAAAAAAGAACTGAAAAAATTTGAGAAAACAATGATGAACTAATTTAACATTATTATAGGAATATTTGTTCTTCCTTAATATTTGTTTTTTCTTTAACCACTTCACTATCTCACAAAAACTCAAATGTTTGCTGCTATTCTATTCATTCCTTCAAAGAAACTTTTTGCCACTGAAACTGGCCTGGGTTTAATGACAAAATCTCTCTCCATTCACCAAATGTCAAGGTGTACTTAGAAGTTAACACCAAATCAACTTGAATCGCCTACTTGTCACATGCAAGAATGTTGAATTATGTCACCCCACCCAGGAGAAAAAAATCTTGTGTTCCCTGGTTTCTTATCTAAAAATTAACAAAAATAATACCCTAAAGGCATGCTTTCAAACCAACAGTAGTCTCTTTGCAATTCCAGGTAAAAAGGTGGTAGAAGTGCATTCTAGTTTCCCATCTATTCATTTTGCATAATCCTGATAAAATCCCACTCTAAACACGGCATGACCAATTAGGCCATAAATCTCCTCTTTTTCATTTTCACTGTGTTCTGGGGAGTTTGAAAACAAGAAATGCCAAATCTTGAAGGTAGGGATCCTGGCCACATTTAATCCTAGAGTTGTCTCGTTTATGATGCCTGACAACTTTTCTAATCAACAAGTCTGTGACAGGGAAAACGGTAAAATGGCTAAAACAATGCCAGTATTATTCATGTAACAATTCGAATTTTGACCAACTTCATTGCTGTAACTGAAATTTTATTATTTCATGTATGGTTATTTCAGCCAAATGGGATGAAGCCATTTTATAAAACCTATGTATCAGGTTTACTTTCATAAAAGAAGGAACTCATTTTTTAAATTGTTATTTTGAATACACTTTTTTCTAAAGTAAGCTATAAATTCCCTGTTTTTTTTATTTTTATTTATATATATATAAAGATTTTTCTATATGATATATAAAAAAAAAAAGCTACACTTATAATTACAAAATCATTGTCAAGTTTTTGTTCAGTCAAAATCATTCATGTTTTGGGTAGAGATTTCCGAGTACACTATTTGGAATACAACAAACTGCTTTAACTTTTTCAAAAATTAAGCATGCCCTTCATTTTTAAGGAATAAAACAACTGAAACAGGTTGATTAGAAAAAGAAGAAAAGTCACTGGTTTTCAAACTGACCGTTTCAGTTAAGCAAAGCTTGGTTAAATTTAAAAAAAAGTTTAAATAGAGAGTGAATTTTATTTTATATTAGTCTTCACTTTTAAGTGTATATGAGCCAGCTTCCCTTAGAAAGACCTCCATGAAGGCATCCCTCCCCTTACGCAGATAGCCCTCAAGGCTTTGTCGTAATTAAATAACCTAACCTTCATATTTAAGATTTAGTTATTATGTCTGTAAGAATGGCTAAATCATAGAACCAGGTATGTTCAATAATTTCTTCATAAGTTTCGTTTCTGGATTTTTAAAATTCTTCTATGAAACTTTTGTAACAGAAGCTGGGGAACCCAAGAGTGAAATCCTGCATAAACTTTTAAAATTGTCCTTATTATTCACTAAGTATTATTTTCCAGGTACACTCTAAAATTATATTTAGATTATAGTATTATAAAAACAAAATTATTTGCAGCAAAAACCATAACTAGATGTATTTTTATAGATATAATCTAATAGATGTCAACAATTTAATATTTTTAAATGCATTAGTTGATATCAAATTAATCCTAATCTCAAATCTAAGCACCTAGACCGAATTGTGTTATACTAAAAAACTACTAATGGCATACATGAATACAGCTGCAAATTTCAAAATAAATCTGATTTAAATAAAAAGTTTGATTTTTCTGCAAAATTTAAACATTTTTCCTTTGCAGTTTCTGAAAATTGCCAAATAACAAAGCATTTAAAAAATTGTTCTAGTAATACTCAAGCATAACATTTTTATGGAATATTTGAAATGACTAATACAAGCCCATAAATAACTAGGATAAAGGTTCCTACTTATCACCATTAAAATATGTCACCTTTATAATATCAGTTGTATCTTGCAGAAAGGAGAGCATTTTATTTAAATAGCAGTACTTTTGAAGTAAAAAATCCATTTTTAAAACACTTAAACTATGTTTTGAATATATGTGGAACAAGTATATTCTGCATGTTTTATGTAATGAATAACTCTTATTTACATCTAATATAGTTTGTCATGCAAACATCTGAATTTCAGATGAGAATGAAGCTGGTTTATAAATATGCAACATAAATATGAACAATAACATACACATATTTCACTTTCGATATTCATCACAAGTATAAAGTAGATTTTCTACTTTGATCACATAATGCAGTTCCGTACATTTTAATAGGCATTCTCATACATAAAATTAAGTAAAATCTATGTTTAAAATAGCTAAAAGCAAAAACAGGATAAAAATAATTACATAACTACTGAACAACGATATTAAATAGAATAAAACTGAACAACAATATTAAATAGAGTATTTTAAATACTATATATAAATGAAAACAATGCACAGAGATTAAAAAAAAAAACTTTTCATAGTTAAATGTGCAATATATCACAAAATTTAAGGTTCAAATAATTAAGTACTGAAACAGAACTTGATTATTCAGAAATACTAGGTGTAAATCACAATCACCAAGATATGCTTGGAACTTTACAGCAAAAAAGAGGTGATATATGAAACTCAGAGGTGCAATTCCTTAAGTTTTCCATTATAACCAAAAGAGGTTTAACAAGTGCAGTCAACATATGTCCACGTATTATATATATATGTGTGTGTATAAACATGAACAGCAACTGAATCGATACAAATATGTACGTATAGATACAGATGTGTGTATATATACACACGCACACACAGATATATATGGTATGTAGATATATATTTACTTTTTTACTTACAAGCAAGTCTCAACTTGTCTTATGTAAAATAAGATTTTATAACATCTGAACAATGCTGTAGCTACCATAGTTTTTCAGGAAATGTTATATTACTAAAACCGGGATTTGCTCTTGTTTCCCAATACTTTCTAGTAAACATCCACTGTTCTTTTCCATCATCAAGATACACTTTCCTAAAAATATTTCAAATTCCAATAATTATGAAAAAATTTTAACAAACTTTTTAGATTTCTATAAACACAACATTTGATTACTAACATTAGATAAAAGAAAATGGAAGATAAATGAATACACAAAAAGTGCTATGAGATTTTAGTTTAGGATATTATGATGGTCCTTAATTTGCCTTAAAACTTTTCGGAAACAAAAAAATACAAGAATATAATGTCCTTTTCTTCACGTTTTAACTGTGTTGTTTCAGTGCTAGCTAAAAGTCTGCTAACAATAACTGTTTTATACTGACTGTAAATTTAAGCTTATACAAGAAATTTTTAAACAGATTGCATATTTTTAAAAATAAACTAGTTGTTAGACATCAAGACAGCCCTCTGAGGGTCCACCTCAGCGTGGTGGAGGGGCAGCAACAACCTCCGAAGGGAGGGTGGCTAACAGGCCCGCCACTGAGCTGTGGTCAGCTTCCCAACATGGGAACTTGAGCAGTCTTGGTGGTACACGACTATCTCTCACCATAAAGTGCCTGGCAGTGGGCACTCTAGTTGGGCAGGTGATGCTTCTAATGAGGTCGGATCAGGATACGGTGCGAGACACAACTCTTTTCGGTGATACCTAATTAATAGGTGAGGGCCGTGTATTCATTAATGTTAGATATCATGACACATGTATGAGATTAAATTACTTGAATGTGAAGACTCTTTAAAATGCAATATATAATTTAAATGAAATATTTCTTAAAATAGGGAGCTAACACTTTTTTTATAAAATATACAAAAAATGTTCGCACACACACCTTGAATGCATAACAATGAAATACATTTAAATTTTGTGAAAAATAAAACTTTGAAATTTTTCAAACATTTTTTAGAAACAAAAAATATTCTTCGATTGAATATTTTACATGCATAGTAATAGTTATTAACTGTATATGAAGAATGTCTCAAAAATGTGTAATCATTTTTAAATTCAAAATTAATATCACCTTTCTGTTTTTTACATTTTCTCCTTTCCCAAACTCAAAAAATACATACATGCATTTATTTAGATTCATATTATTTTTTAATAAAAGCAATTTCTTTGTATACATTAACTAAAATTTAATACTTACGTGCTAAGTAAAACACTGATCAAATTCCCTGAAAGCATGAAATTCACCTCTGCATTAGATCTTTCAATGGAAACAGAGGTTGTAAACACAGTCCAAATGTAGCAGAACTGACAATTAATCCCTTCTTTTTATAAACTGAGATTTATGAAGGTTGATAATATTTCTGTTATAGACATTAAAATCTCAAAGAGGAGGATTGGTAGTAATTCATAAAATGAATAATACTTCATCAATATGACCTTTGAAATTATTCACCACACTGACCAGCATCCAGCTTTCTTTCATGTATATTTATGAAATATAATATTTACGTATAATTTGGCAAAGCTTTCTTTAAAAAATTAATTTAACTTAGTTTGATACATAACAATGCCTGACTTCAGGATTTATATGACACTCATATAAATGTGTAATAAAGCATTGCATAATGCTTTTAGATTTATGTACCTGCATCATTCTCATTCAATTTATTGTGCTGTAATTATATTTTGAAAGCATTATGTTATTAGTGAACTGGATCAAACACTTGGAAATATTCAGTACAGATTTAATAAACTTGTTACTGTTTCATATTTCTTGGAACCTCACTACCATTCACATCATTACCAATGGCCAAATAAAAAAATATGATGAAGTCTTAATGCACCATACTACACTATGTATGGTACTATATAAATACAGTAATCTAGGTAAGGTTTTAGTACACAAGAACTGAACTAAATAATTTTAAAATTATATTTTATAAATAAATATTATAAGGATCAATAGACAGCTATGGTGAATAGTTTAAGGAAACAGGTTATTACACAACCAAATTAAATGAATCGTATAAAATGCAAGACTATCATGACACCAATTATGATGAATTTTCTGTAATTATTACCCATTTCTACTCTCTGTTACAGAATTATGGATGTGATAAAATTTGTTTTAAACTGATTAGGTATTACTAACTTGGTTAAATATAGCTGATAATAACTGGTTAATTCAGTTAAATATTACAGATAGCTCACCTTAAAGGTTTGACACCTCTACTTTCCACTGATATTTTATAACAAGAATGGTTACAAAATCATTTAAAATTGATTCCATTGTTTGGGAATAACCTGTAGAGTTAAATGTTGAAATTGACAAAAAACATTAAAAATTACCTTTAATTTCCAAACAATATTTCAGTTGAGTCTTTATGTTTAGCAATATCAAATTGCATTATTTTTCCAAGATTAGTAAACTATTAAGTGATTTAAATTGTAGCATGGATAAAACTTTTTAAAAATAAGTTATGAAGGACTAAAAGTCCTTACACAAACATCAAGCATTAAAAAATTAGTAAATACGAGGCACGAAGAAGGAATATAGATAGTAAATTCCAAAGACTTGATATAATACACCATAGATGAGGACAGAAAACTAATAATTGCACTTACGTCAATGATGCATTAGCCATAACAACAATATTATACTTAATAACATTTTATAGTGACTGAAATTTGATCAGACTTCTAATTTTATAGGTCATATGTTTTTCCCAGATTCGATGGATCAAAATATGGTATTGCTTTAGTTAATTATAAGACTAAAAAACTCTTAGAATCTACACTTTTCTACATTGAATGATGCCATTACTTTATTCTGACTTGCTCTGTAAGAACTTTATGGAAAACACACACAAATTTGATCTAGATGTAAAAAAATCCCATTTTTCCAAAACTGCTGTATATATATCATGACTCTTATAATATTTGGAATTTGCAGACAATTCTGCATTGAAGGGTGCCATTAGTTTATACTGACTTCAACAGTATGCGAGTGATTTAGCAAAAACTTGAGTATCCATAGCTTCCTCTACATGTGACAAAGTAAATTTTTTAATACTCATGCACTTTACAGAAATGCTGTATTTATACTGATAGATTTGTGATCATAGGCCTTTTTGCATCAAATGATACCATTAGTTTTATTCTAACAAGAAGAGTTAGCGAGAAATAAAAATAAATGAATTAAAAAAAAAAACCTAAGGAAAAAAAAACAAAGATGTCTACTCATTGTGAAAAATTCAATTTTAATACCATTTAAGAAATTAAGAGAAAATCTCCAAGTTTTTCAAATTCTACAAAATACATTATACAAATATTCAAACACCAAACTATTTAGATACACTTATGTTTGTGAAAAATGCAACACCATGAAGGAATAATCGGGAATGAATGAAATTTATTCCACAATGGTGGTACAAATAAACAATCAAATTTTTAAGACAAAGAAAAAAAAACATTGGAAATAAGTACTTCGTGCATCTGCCCCACTAAGCAGCAAGAGCCTGTACAAATCATGGCATTGAATTGGACAAGTTCTGAATGTAATCCTGGGGGATGGCATTCTGTTTGGCTTAATACCAAAGTTCACTCTTAGTGTATGCCCCATCAATTGTATGGGTGAGTTGCCGACCGATGAAATTCCAGACATGCTCAATGGAATAAGCAAGCCATGGAAGAAGTAAAACCTGTTGCACCAAGAAGGCTGATAAACATGTGCAAGGACATTATCTTGCTGAAATACAGTGCCTGGAATGCGTAGAAGAATGAGGAATACCTCTAGCTCCCAAACTTCCCTTATGTAGTGATCATTGTTAAGATTGCTTGCAGTATGCACGAGATGGGATTGACAATTATACCTAAGAGCTCCCCGTACCATGATGCAGTATGATGATAACACACTGTGGGAGCAGACATTCCCCTCCAAAATGTTTGATGCATCTTCTTCCATCATTGTACTCCAGATCATAGTGAGATTCATTGGAGAAAACAACCTGCTGCCACATGGCCCCCTACACACTGTGTTGCCGTGCGACAATGTAATCCTGCATAGAGGAACTCTTGCATGCAATTCATACTGCAGCAGATGGTCACGAACTGTGGAGCTAGACAACACAACACCTGTAGCCATGCTCCAACATTGTGCTAACACATGAGAGGATGCTGTACGATCCATCACAGCCATGCAGATGAAGTGTCTGTCATCCTGTGCCGTTATGCTATTGTATGCCCTAGTGCCAGGATTTCATCTTGTTTGGTTCTCCTCTGTCCGTTTGTTCCAAAGACACATCACTGTTGTGGCATTAGGCTGAGTGCAGGCTGCAGTTGCTTGGCACAAAAGTCCACCTTCTTGCATACTGATGATGTGGCCTCATTTGAACTCTTAGTTGTTAGCATGACACCCTCTGCTACTGATGAGACATAGTGACCATTAATTAAACATTCACTGCAGATAGAGGATGATAAACAGATTTCAATGCAAATTAACAGTTCTTTATACAAATGGAACAAGCGGCCAGTTCCCATTCCACGCATGCACAATTGCTTTGTAATTCTAATTATTTGAATGTCTTACCTCACTAAGTTTGGTTCAATTCGCATAATTCTTCATGGTGTTGAAATTTTCACAAACATATATTATGAACCCATAAAAATAGCCAAGAAAAAGGCAACAAACTTAATACAAATAATAACTAAAAAGATTCACTGCTGAAAGGATGGTTACCATATCTTTAAATATAAAAAGTAGGACACCGTAGTAAGGTGATCACATACTGAAATAAAAATAAGGGCATCATATCAACCACACCACTCCAAACTGAAAACATATTACAGATGAACATCCACAGAATGTAAGAAAAGCATTCATTTTCAAACATTTAAATTTAAGTCTAATATGCTGCATCTTTCACACCTGTTACCTAAATTATTACAATCTATCTATGCATAATAAATAAAGTTTGATAAACAAAAGGCTTAATAAACAGAGATGTAGGATATCAAGTCACGTTTTGAATTGACATGGTACTATGCCAATAGGCAAATTGTAACCTTTTGTTATTTTACTTAAAATATATATAACAGATAGGCAAATCATGTATTTAAACATCAGAATAAGGAAAGATTTTATGATATCTAACTTGAGCACAGAAGAGGGGGAAAAATCATTTTGTAAAGGAGATGCGACTACTCATTAATATAATCCAATTTTTCTTGAACTAAAATGTTTATTTTCAAAGGAAAAGAAAATACTTCTTACTTGAACCACATGGGAACATATTCTATTCCTAATTCTTCTCGCCGTTTTCTTCTGTCTCGCTGTGATTGTTCAATTTGTTGCTTACTAATTTCAGCTGCAGCAATATTACCTTCTTCTAATAACCTGTACAAAAATCCAGAATTTTGAAAGAAATAAGTAAGTAAAATATGTAAAAAAAAAACTAAGACAGTATTTGAATTTTTAATTCAGGATTTTAAAGTACATAATTTTTATACCGTTGATCGGGACGAAACCTTGTATCTGTAGGTGGCAGTAACTTTTCCAGTTCAGGATCCAGTTCATTAAGTTCTATAGCAAATCGTGTAAACCCATAATACAATTCATAATCTTCAGGCATTGTCCCTAGAAAATATGTCATTTCGACTAAAAACAGTGAAAATCTAGTCATACAAAAGCAAATAAAATTAAAATGTACACAGAAAGATATCTTTTGAAGCAGCTTTACCCACATCTCCGATCGTAACAGAGTGGAAGCTTTATCAAATAAATTACTGTGTAAACAGATTTCTGAAGCATGTAAGAAATCCAAATTGAAAACCACATTAGTGCAAGCAATAATTTTGGCTTCTGAAAAGAAACAACTTAAGTTTTTAACCCTTCTTCTAATTGTTTCTCACTGGGATCCAAAGTATAATTTTCGTTTTTTGAAAGCCAAAATTACTTATCACACTAATTCACCTTTTTGTAGAAACTTTGGAAATCCTTTGATGTTATTTATTTATAAAATACTGATTTAGTTCTTAATAACTGGCAACACTGTTCTTTTTAACTTTAAATGAATTTAATTTTACAGATCTAGCATCAGTTAAGAAAGCTTAGGTTTAGATGTTTTGACTATGGCAAATGCTTTATAAAAAAGTAGGTTTTATGCGTTTCTTTTTAATATTTTTATTTTAAACAAAATAATTAGAAACACAAAACTTTAGAAATTATCAACAATTTGTAGCAAGGCCATGGTTGTCTTCACTGCTAATGAATTTGAGATCATGGTTTGGTTTATTTGATAATGAAGAGGCACATGAGGGCTATCTGCTTGTTATTTATATAGACAAACAATGTTTCTACATTTTCTAGTACACTTAGTCATTCCTTTGATAATTCAGAACTCTTTTTACTGCTTCTTTCTTCCTTAATGTTGTGCAAGATGATGTAGTTATCATAAAATCTGGCAACCTTGGCTACTCACATAATTTAATCATGCTTTGTGATAACTTCCATTTTCACTTCTGCATTTATTTCCTTCTTCTTATTGCTTTTGTTTTCATATGCTTTTTTCTTAGGGACCAATTTTACAGTACATTTACTAAACAGTTGGTACTTTCTGTTTAACTGACTAACCCTGGCCCTCATCACTACATAATGTGTTGTGCTGACAAAATAGGTAACTCAGACTGTTGTGAAAATACATTTATATGGCAACCCAGGTAAACCAGGTATCGGTTGCAAGTGCATTAAAGCATAGGATTCATCATTTGAAATTCAATGGTTATGTTTATAGTGCATGGTAGTTTTGATTCAGTGTATATATTTCTTTTTCCTTGCACAGAATCATAATGATAGCATGGAGTTTGCTATTAAGGAAAGAGAAAGTGATGCATTTCTTTTGAAATATGGCAGTTTGCCTAACAGTAGCAGATGCAGAAATTCTAATTCCATAAAGTTCTACTTCGTAAATAATCGAATTTGTAAGTGATACCAGAACTGAAAAACATCATCACATTCACAGTTATCAGGATCTGTTTTTTGGGATGAATACTTTTGTTCTGAAGTGCTTCTTTTTATTATTATTCTTTATGTAATAAAATGCATACAAAATGACACATTTAAACAGCTTTTGTTGTCTCCGATGTAACACAATTACAGTTAATGTATAGCTTGAAAGTAACATATCAGCTGATCTTAGGTGATTGTAATGATAACTTTAACTGAATATATGCAATTATATGTTGTTTTTTCAAGCGAAAACAGATTACTGTGCATACAGACAGCAGTGCCAGATTGCTCTGTGATTACAAGAATTCTACAAATCTCTTATATAAGTTAAAATAGATACAGACAGAAGACTATAGAAAAGCTAAATGTTTTATTATGGTTGTTAACTGCAATTTTAATTTTTTAATTAGTTGTTGTTTTGTGTAATTTTAGTGGGCTATCATTTTTTTAAAATGGCTGTTTTTTCCTTCAGTTGGCTAAAAATTAGTCACCAATGATTGGAAACTTTTTGCGAGGGTACGGCAGGCAATCGGAAGGTACCGAACAATCATTACCCTTAAAAGCATTAAAAAAAAAGATGTGTGTGCAGAGATGTTGTCATAATGCTTACAGTTATCATGTAGTCAATCACAATGCTACATTATTCATAATAAGAGTGGGGCATGCTAATTAAGAACGAACAAAGTAAACGATTTCCTACAGTCCCACTGGAACAGACAGTAAAACCATCAGCTTCATAGCAATCATATGATCTCATTGCTGGACATGAGTCATTTATCAAGCTAAAGTTCATAAAAAATATTTGTCCCTTTTTCAAAATACTTAGAATACAAGGTTACTGTATATGAATTAATTATTTAATTAATGTATATGAATTACCAGGTACCTGAATTTCATTTGTCACCTTCTGTGTATATTGCATTCTGAAGAAACAAATTGTTAGGAATTTAGAATTTAAAGGAATTTTTACATTCTAAGAGAAGAATGAAAAACTCATGACACTCATATTTTAAGTCAATGTTCATGAAAAGAATACCATGACACTGTCTGTCAAACTATATAACTTTTGCTTTTCAAGTATCTGTATAAACGTATTTATAAGCTATAATGTACAACAAAACAACAAGCTAAGACCCCTACAACATCTTGCGGAAATGTCAAAATAAACATACCTGGCCTCCAAATACATTTAACAGTTGGTGCTACTCCACAATATAGGGCCTCAGTCCATTTACCAAATAGATTGTGTACAACTTTACCATCCCGAGAGAAAACAGCTCCAAAAACTTCATGGCGTTTACTTGACCAATAACTTGCCTAAGAAAAATTCAGTTGAGGTTTTCAAAATTATGTATGGAAAGAAAAGTCATACAAAAACATAAAATTAGAATTCCTGAAATCAGGATATAATTAGAATAAAATTATGATTATATATGTAAGAAATGGATAATATATGAAAGCAAAAGTGAGACATAAGTTACAAAGTGATTACTTTATTGCTACAGTTTTAGAAACAAACATGAATATTAAAAAGAAGAAATCAGCATTAAAAAGTAATCTTTCACTAGTTAAAAAAATAAAGGAGGAAGCTAACATTCAAACAGCTGAACATTCAGAAATAAGGAAAATGAGTCAACTATAAAAAGTCTAAGCATTCAAAGACAACAGCACTACTTCTTATATTGTTGTTTACATCATAGTATAGTTTTAAAAGCTTTAGTGCTTTTCCATGTTATTTTTAAATAGGAGGAGAGTCTCAATTTAGTTTTTGTAGTATGGGCAATTCAGCATCTTCTTCTCTACTTGTGAACTTCCATCAAACTCTGGCATAACAATCTCATAGAAAGTCTAAAACAGTTTTTAGAAAACAAACTGTTAGAATCAGATGCTTCTAAATTTATGAATTTATTAGTAAAATCAAATTAATAATTCCTTCCTCAAATATTTTACAGAATACCAAATTTTGCGTTAGTTTTTCATTACCTACAGAGTTCTCTCCTTCTTTGATAATGAAAAATATGTTATAAATGTTGTTTCTACTTTCTCCAGCAGTTTTATTAAACGTTATTACTATTGAACTGATGTACACTTGATATCTTGCTATAAATGTTTCAAGTCCAGGCCTCAAGTGTTTTAATATGAAAAAGAACTTCAACAACTCTATTTCTGAATTAATATGGCACCTAAATAAGAAATAGAAATTTAGAAGAATTATGAAAAATGTTGAAATGGAAGCTAACAGAGTGCACAAGATCATGGATAACTAGAAAAAGTTAGCTCTATAAGAAATTTTATAATGAAAGCAACTAATTATATATAATAAAGTTTACTAATTATAATAAAGCAACTAATAATAAAGTTTTAAAACAACTTATTGCAATATATGATGCTAAAACTTTAAACAGCTCTTTCCAATCTATAATACTAAAATAGTTTCTTTTTATTTGGTAACTTTTCCAATGCCCTCCTACAAAAGTGGTACTATAGATAAGTTTTGTAGTCTTCTGCAAAAATGCTTCACACTGTTCACACTCTTGTCCCCAACAAAAATTGTTTAGAGAGCAAAAGAAGTAGCATTCTGCTGCAGCATTCAATATCTAGTGAATAAAGAAAAGTGGTAAAAGTTTCAATCCAAACTCCTGTAATTGTGGATCTTGGAGGTTTGCCTGGATTTAAACAGACTTATTATGTTTCATCATGAAATTCAGATGCATTCTACCATACAATGTTTAAAAACTACTAATCCAATATTCACTGGCAGCCCATCTCCAACACATGGTACCAAGTGTATAAATTTACTAACATCCCATGATATGAATTCACTTATCCAAAAACCTATAACTCCAGACTATTTTGCTAAACTTGATATAATAATTTTTAAGTCATTCTTGTTGTATTTCAAAGGTCCTCGCTTCTTAGTTCCTGAGATCTTTATCAATTTTTGTTCTTCGAGTTGAATTTCACCTTTATTAAAGTGCAGAAACTAACATTGCCATGTGCATGCATTCTGATAAAGCATTACTGCCATATATGCCTTGCGATCTTCAGCATGCTTCTGCCATAATCGTGATCATAATAAACCATTCGATCATGTTCATACTAATATGCTGCTTTTGTACTAATATGTTGACTAATATGCTGCTTTTGTACCTTCATTTCCTTTCTCCCAATTTTTATTCAGAAATAACATGCAACAACTATACCAACACCTTTTAATAACAGACAGAGCACACAGATTAATGAATACAGGCCAAAAATTTGCAAGGTCAAATGTGCTACCATAACAATAACTTTAAAAAGTTTCCATATACCCAATATTTTTAAGAACGTCCAAAGGAACTGCTTTTAAGTAAACTGTCATCTGAGAATAGGAATTGGATATAAGTGTGCAAAATATGACAAGCAGGTTTATTTCCTTATGTGCTTTTGTCATTTACTTATTAGATTATTATTTATTTCTACAGCTATTTGTAATACGATTATTTTAGTCATTAAAAAGTATTAAATGAACTATGATATTCCAAGTACATTTAGTCAAAGGTGAACTACGAAAATTTTAACAAAAAACTTGCTTTTATGTTAAAAAAAAAAACAAAATATTTAATTCTAATTACAGGGTTACCACTCACAGGAGAACAAAATTCCCTGATTTTTCCAGGTGTATTTTAAGAAAATTCCAGTCTATCCGTATAATGCACGTTGGCTGTGCTAAGAGGTAAATTAATTATGGTATTACTCGAAAACACAAAAATTTGCCAGTTACATATGACTTATATATAAATCCCCAAAGCATTATTATTATAACCATAATAGGAGTTGTTTTCCCCACTGAAGATTGAGATTAGAATTGAAATCTGGATAAAAAAAAAATGTCTTTTTTTTTTTTTTTCAAAAATTTTGCAATTAAACGAAAGAAGGAAATCTATTTAATGATATTATAAAATAAATTCAGGTATTTTATATTTATTTAGCAGCATACATAAGCAAAAAATATGTGCATACATAAGCAAAAAATATGTGCAGATGGTATGTCATCATATTGCTAGAATTAAGCCAGAGAAAATTTCCTGAAATTTGGAAGTATTATTTACTAATAATAATTAATTTAGAGAAAAGAAGCAACATTAAATAATACGAATAAAATAAAGATAATTACTTAAAAACTGAATTAGAATAATCAAGGATATTTTAGTGAATATAATTATATTAAATGGTTAGCCTAGACGACCGATTACTATTTTTTATTTTGTTGCAAAATGGCAAATAAGGCATTTATTAAAAAAAAAAAAAAAGACTTAAAAGATTTTGTGGTAAAATCCTTGTATAGGGTACGATTTTGAAAACTGTCACCAACACCAAAATGACCCGTTTACTGCTCATCATAATGTCGCCAAATCCTCTGTGTACTGTACATTAAAAAGAAAAGAAAAAAAAAGGGTTTAGAAGATTTTGCAGTAAAATCCTAGTGTACTCTAAGGCATTGGCACTATTTTGAAAATTGTTGCTAACACTGAAATGACCCGTTTACAGCTCATTATAATGTCGCCAAATCCTGTTGTACCATACATGGAGGTTAGAATAAAATACATGGAGGTTATTCTAACCAAAGAACGTCTATGTAAAGAAGGAAAGGTTCCATAGACGTAATGCTATTGCCCTGCTAGAAAGCGGAGGGAATATTTACACAAAATAACTAATCCATTAATTAATTTACTTGCACAAAAAACTATTTTCTTTCCCTTTAAAATTTAAAGAAATTTTAAACGATATTCATTTTATAAACTCTTGATAACGTGACTTTCGAACTTCGACACCGGCTTTGAGTTTTGGCAACAGATATTTCCCAGCATGCAGGTTCTTTAGAAGTTTCCCCCTATGTTGGAACGGAGCCACTCCTGTTGCAGAGAAGTTTTCCTTCTTGACAATACATATTCTTTGATTCTAACCTCCACGGTACTGTATACTAAGATTAAAGCAATTTTGTTTTAAATGAAAATAAGCATTTTGTTTAGTTCAACACGCACTGCGCATGCGATTCTTGGAGGTCACTGTAAACCAAAAGTTGCTGGAAACTTGCTTTGCCCTTCTAAAAGACAATCTAATTGGAGCTGCGAAAATTGGCTCTATGGCAGCTGCCCGAATGACACTCACACAATACACAATTCGCCAAAAAAGTGATCGCTTCCAACGTTGGCACAAAATTTGCTTTTTTAGGGGGGGATCACCATATGAAATTGCCTGACTTTTCAGATTTTGACTAAAACATTTAAATTCCCTGACTTTTCATTGAATTTTTTTGGTCGATTTTCGAATTCCCTGATTTTTCCGGTTTTCCAGGTAGCATGGCAACCCTGTAATTAAATGTTTCAATTCTTACAAAAACAGAAAATATAAATAACTTTATATGAAGAATCACAAAATGTCACAGAAATTACATGAAGTAAATTTAATTATGCGGCACAATTTATGCTAAAAGCTGTCATTCATATATTACTTTTTCCTCCTTTCTGGTCAGTTGACCTTCTAGGATGTTCTAAGGCGAAACAGCGATTTTTCAAGAAAGTTTGTACATAAAGTTTTAGGATTAAATTATCCTAAAGGCTTTCTTCTTAAAAAAAACTCAATACAAAGATCTTATGAAAATACTGTTCTTCAAGCTGAAACCTTGTTCAACTTCAGCACTGTTATTAGTTAGCCTCCAAAACGACTACCTCTAAATTAATGGAAATTTTGTTATACAGTTTTCTTCCATTTCAATGAAATGCTACAAATCATTTAAATTTATTTCATTGCTTTACCACAAAATTTAAGGCTTCTATCCTTCTTTTCTTGTTCTGCCAGCTACAGAAAATGATATTTTCCAGCTCCTATTTAAATTTTAGGTTATGTACCTTTTAAACAATATGTTTTGTACAAATTTGCCTCTTGTGCTTTTTACTTGGATATGTGTGCTGAACATATGCTAAAAGAGAATATTAAAATAGGCAATGATTAGAAAAGCTCTTGATCTTGCATTAATTATAATTTCACAGCTTGGCTATATATATATATGTGGGATTTTAAATCCATAGCTTAATATTTTAATATTTTTCCTCGCGCACTGTCTAAATTTTAGCTGTTGACTGCACGAGTGAAACTGATAGAATTCTCGCTACTTTGTTTTATGAGAGGAGATGTAAGATGATGTAGATGTTGTATTAATAGATGAACTATATTACAGATGTATTAATGTTTTATTAAATGTGTTTTGTTTGAACATGAATTGTGATTGCCAAACTAAAGAACCCACAAAATTGGTGTCAGAATCGGGATCAAATTACAAGCAACAAATAGAGGAATATGGAGCAATATTGGATGACAGAAGGAATATTTCTGTTAATAGTGAAATTGATGCATCAACAGCTCGAATTTTCAACGACTTTTCTTTTGCTGCTCTTAATGAAGATCATGAGCTAAAACAAAATATTAGTAAGTCATCAGTTCAATTTCTGTTTCCACAGTTTTCAAATATGTATATAAATTTTTATGATATTGAAAGTTTGATTTCTAAATTTGATGGTAATGCTTATAATTCGGTTGACAAATTCATTAAAAACTTTGAGGATGTATCTAATTTGTTTAAACTAAATGAATTACAGAAACTGATATTTGCCAAAAGATCTTTAACTGGCACAGCAAAATTATTTATTGAAAGTGAAACGAAAATTAATTCGTGGAATGCAGTTAAGACTTTATTAGTAAATGAATATGGTGTTCAGTATAACTCTGCTCAGTTACATGAATTACGTAAAATTCAAGGAAAAGAATCCCTATATGAATATTTTTTGGTAATTAAAAATATGTGTTCTAAAGGTAATATTGAAAACGCCATTTTAATTGAATATGTTATTAATGGTATAAATGATTCTACATTTAATAAAGCTATTCTTTATGGTTGTAAAACTTAAGATATATGAAAAAATTAAATTAGATAATGTTAAAAATAAATCCGTTAAGCCTAATTTTAAAACCAGAAGCGACCATTTTGAAAGTGAAATAAAAACAAATATTCATTACTATAACTGCGGAGATCTTGGTCACGGGGAGAATTTTTGTAAAAATAAGAGCAAGGGAAAAAAAAATGCTTTCGTTGTAATTTATTTGGACACGTAGCCACAGAATGTACAAAAAATAAGACGAATATAACTTGCCAGAGTGAATCATATATTTGTAAAGAAGCAGTTAAATGATATGCATAAAACTGTATCGATAGATAATGTAGAAGTAAAAGCTCTGATTGATACAGGAAGTGATATAAATATAGTATCGGAAAATATTTATAAAAAAATTGGTTCACCTAATATTAATTCTTTCGATTTGATTCTAGTAGGCTTTGGTAACAATAAAGTAAAACCTATTGGTTATTTTAAAGCTTCCATACAAATTGATGACTGCGAAATTAAATTAAATATTTATGTTGTGCCTGAAGGAACAATGAAAGAAAATGCTGTTATTGGAAATGAATTGCTTTCGCAAATGGAAATTATTATAGACAAGAACGGCATATCTATGAAAGTAGCAGAAGATGAAAAGGAAGACGAAAATTAATCGAATTTAATGTATATAAGTGTTGATCAAGAAAACAGATTAGATAATTGTTCGGATATTAATAAAGCATGTACGTCCAAAGTAAAACACTTAATTGAAAATCATATTCCTAATAATACTGAAAACCCTATAAAAGAAACACACGTAGTTGAAGATGAATTAAAGGTAGAGGAGTCTCAGGAAGAAAAAATGTTAAGAGTGGGAAAGGAAAATTGCAAAATGTAAAGGAAGAGAAGAACTCCATTTCTAAAGGAAGAAGAAAAAACCCACCTAAGAATGTTCAGCAAGTCAAAAAGAGTAATGAATAAATAAAAAATTAATGATTCCAAAAAACAGACTTCAGGACCAAAAAGTTCTAGGAAAAGAAATTCAGAATTTAAGAAACTGGTTGAAGATAATTCTGGTGAAACAGGAATATCAACAATAAGAAAGAGCAAACAGCAAGTGAAATTTCCACCTAAAGAACTGGATCCTGATATGTCTGAAAAAGTTAAGGGAACACAAGTCAAAAGAAAATCTACTAATACCAAAATGCATGTTAGTTTAAAAGATGACCAACCTATTTCTTTGAAACCCAGACATTTACCAATTACAGGTAAAGAACAACTAAAGCAGGTAAAAGCTATTTTACAAATGGATTTAGATGCTCCTGAACAACACGTTAGATCTTTGGAAAGAAAAGTTTCTGTATCAGAACAGACTGTAGAAATATTACAGCAACAACTATTAAAAGCCAAGAATGAGGCAGAAGCTGCAAAATTTCAGAGGAGAACCAAAGATAAAATCCTGTCTGAGAAAGAAAATGAAGTTCAAACTATTAAATTGAACATGCAAGAAATTCTAGCTTTAGAAAAAGATTGCATGAGGGAAATTATGAAGAAGAGATTATTTGTTAACAAGAACTTGCAAAAAATGCGAAGAAACAAATATTTAAAGTACAAGTGTGTGTGTATTTAATTATGGCAAAGCACACTAGGGCTATCTGCCTAAGGGGAGGGATGCCTTCGTGGAGGACTTTCTAAGGGAAACTGGCTCGTATACACGTTACACATGGGGAAAACCACGAAACACCCATGCAGCCAGCCCGTTCGCGGGATTCGAACCTCGGACCGAACTACCAGTGTTCAGCGACTTTACCGCTCGGCCGCTGGTGGGCCATTTAAAGTACAAGAACGAAATAAGAAAAACATATAACACATATAACCTTCGAAGACGTTCTTCAAAATTTTGAAACTAATGATTTAGTAGCAATCAAAACAACTCAATTTGAACCAAACCTTAAGTTAAAATCAAAGTATTTAGCCTCGTCTAAGATTGTCAAAATAAAGAATAATGTCTCCTATGATGTTGTAAAAGAAGAAGATTATGAAGGACCCACAAAAAACAACTACATGCGCTGAATACATAAAACCATGGACCCAAGCAGAAGAAGATGTATAAAATAGTACTGACTATGACGTTTTAAACCTGGAGTGATATGACTGATAACCGAACTATGATTTTTCACCTAACAATGGCTTTTATTTCAGTTAATTTTATTTTAAGATGAAATGAGCGTTTCAAAAAATGTTAAAGACTGAAGATACTTTTTGATTTAGATGAAATTTCTGAAAAATAGAAGGGACTGTTGACGATGTTATTGTTGCGAAGATGAAGGACAATTAAGATGTTTCCTTTCAATTTTGTCCTTAGCACACAATCTTACCCTCTTCCTTCGTATTTCGTTTCAGGTTTTGGCTTATTCTTGATGATGGTTCTTTTACTGAAGACAACGATGATGTAAGCTGACCAATGATTTATGATGTCAAGAGTAGAATAATGTCGTCAAGCAAGAGTAGAATAATGTCGTCGAGGTCGACGCATAGCAGGAAGGATGTGGGATTTTAAATCCATAGCTTAATATTTTTCCTCACGCACTGTCTAAATTTTAGCTGTTGACTGCACGAGTGAAATTGATAGAATTCTCGCCACTTTGTTTTATGAGAGGAGATGTAAGATGATATAGATGTTGTATTAATAGATGTAAGATGATATAGATGTTGTATTAATAGATGTAAGATGATATAGGTGTTGTATTAATAGATGAACTATATTATAGATGTATTAATGTTTCATTAAATGTGTTTTGTTTGAACATTAATTGTGATTGCCAAACTAAAGAACCCATATATATATATATATATACATATAGTAAAATAGAGTTGAAGAGAAAATAAATATAAAAAATTACTTCCTAAATTAAAAAATTAAAAATTTTGTACAGCTGTTTACAGTTGTTCTGTGGTCCTATTAAATGTAAGTAAAATAATTTCCTTGTAAAAATTACATTTATAGACAATATTTGCTTTAAATGAATAGTGCATACAGTAAAATTAAAATAACAACAATGAAACGAACTTGATCGCTATTAAAATAAATAACTAAATAAAGGGGAAAATACTCCATTAACTTTAGATTAAGAATTCTTCAAAGCAAATGTCCATTAATCTTAAACAAAATTAACACAGAAGAAACTGTGCAAATTTGTATCAATAAGTTACTATAAAAATGCTTTATAACAAAATACATATTGACTTAATAATTTTATTTCAATATATAAATAAAAAATTCTAAAAAAACTTCATATTTTAAAACAAAAAACTAAGAGTATAACATAATTCATCAGTAAAGAAAATGGCGATAAAAATAAACTTTACTTTAACAAAGGTAAGCTTGCATGTTGCATCACCATTTTCTTCTGTAATCAACATTTCTCCATACTGATCAGCCCATCGCTGACCACTGAATAAATTATGAACACATGTTGTTACTTTGTTCCACTGATAATGATCATTTGTTCTAGCAAAATAAATATAATTAATATAAAACTTAATTGAATCTTTTACATAGAGCATTGTCAAGTAAAAGGTCCTGTTTTATAAAGTCATGATAAACCAGTACTTTTTTTGTGCAAAAATTATTGTTAAGAAAAAATAAACTTTTTATTGAAAAAGCTTACTTTGGTAAGTAAACATGTATTGTCCCCAATGGCAAAATCTCCATCGACTTGCCCCAAAATTTTGTTTTAATACGCATATCTAAATTCAGAAAACATTTTATAATTTTATAAATCACAAATAATATGATACATAACATATTCAACTGTCACGTAGCAAGTAAGATATATAAAAAGTGTTCTCAGTACTACATAACTGTAGAGTATTCACAGTCAACACATAAATGCATTTCATACACAGACAGACTTATCTCAGGCACTTGTTTTACAACTAAAATCTTAAATAAGATATACAAAAAGAAAGATTAAATAGGTATTTAAAATTGCACCAATATTTAAAGGAGGAAAAGAAACCATGTATAATTATTTTTCTTTATTCTTAAAAAATGTTTTGAAATGTAAAATCGCACACAAAAATAAAATCATCTGCAACATTTAAAAAATAATAACAAATCATAAAGGGAAAGGTTATTATAGTTTGAAGGGATAAGTGTACTGAATAACTGCAAGTCAGATTTCATTGTATTTTCACAAAAAATATTAGCAAATAAAATTGTCACGAACATGCAACTGTAAATCCAGGCAGCCCTCAACTTTTTGCACACTTCACTGATTCACTTCACTTCACATTTTTAAAAATTCCATTTTTTAAAGATTCTTGTCTATATAACAAAAATTGTGACTTAAAATTGAGTCAGGCAGGAAATCCCAAAGCAGCGAAAGGAGAAAAATAAAGAATTGCTCCCAGTCTTTCGAAAATGAAATAAAAAAAGCTTGGGTTACTACATAAATACTTAAAGATTGGTTCACTTTTCAATTTGTGCCGGCAGTTAAGCAATCTTGTAAAGACAAAAATTTACAATTTAAAGCATTATTATTCTTAGATAATGCTCCAATGCATCCAAAATCAACTGCAGAATTTATAGCCGGATATCAATCCTGCAATTTTTCCTCCCAATACTACCTGCCTTATACAGCATATGGATCAAACAGTGAATTAAATGATATCATATACAGACAATCATGAACTAGGCTACCATGGCAACTTGCAAGAAAAGTGGACCTATATTACGAGGTGTTTGCAAGAGCTATAATATATAAAACACAAAAACTATGTTGGACACTTGCAGGCTAAAATAAAAGGTTCTTGGAAACAATTATACCCTGAAATGATGAGGGATTTTATAAATTTAAGAGAAACTTGGATAGCTGTTACAAATGAAATAGTTAGCTTAATGAATGAGCTGAACTTGGACATCAAGAACAAAGATGTTAATGAGTTGATTGAATTTCACTCAGTACCTTTATCAGACGAATACTTAATTGAGCAACAAGTACTAAATGAAATACACAGTGAAAGGGAGGAAGAAGATGCTGATAGAATGAGCAACAATTTGACAATAAAAATATATTCATAAATAAATATTTTAAAATACAATTTTTAATGTTTTTTTAATATCTTTCTACTTTTGAACATTCAACATTTACATACATTTTCAGGAACCAACTATGTATGAAAGCTGAGAGCTGCCTGAAAGCTAATAAAATAAACTAAAAATGTGTCATCAAATAAGCACAAAAAATATACAGAATAAAAACTATATATTGGAAATTAAAGTTTGATCTTGCATATGACATTAATACTTTCATGAAATAAAAAACACATTTTAAATAACAATATCTAATAATATTTATAATTTAACAATAATTTTAAATAATGAAATCTATATTAGTTCTCTTATGACACCGTAATTTTTGATTAGTTGACTTTATTCTGCTAGTTTACATGCAGCAAGTTAAGTGATTGCACCAAGTTAAGCGACTGAATTAACATTCCTCATAAAGAACTCACCATTTTTGAATACTTATCTCTTTATATTTCATTAAGTGCTGAATCAACACTTAAACACTTCTCCATTAAAACTTAAACACTTCTCCATTCTGGTTTGAACTTCTCCATTATGTATGAATTATTAAATCATTGTTAATTAACAGTTACAAGGTTATGCAAATTTTTCTGTATTCAAAATTTATCATATTATTATCTAATTCTGATAACTTTAAAAATTGTTTTGCACGCAAGGAAGCAATATTTTATTTAGCAAAATTTTGAGGACTACTTGCATAATGAGGAAATGGAGTCAGGGAGGATATTCTTAGAGAAACTTATTTGTATTTAGATTAAACATGAGGAAAACCATGAATACAGGCAGCCATTCTTATGCTGTGGTTTGAAATGGGAGCGTAACCAATATAATCAAAGATCTTATCTATTCTACCACTGTGGCTTTTTTCCCTGAGGAAAATCTGGAAAAACAGTTTTCAAGCTTAATCATATCTGTTTAAAATCTAACAAGCTTTGTTTAACCCCACAAACTAAAAATACTGCACACTGGTTATCACATTATTTTTTGTACTAAGTCTTCAATGATTTTACTTCAAAATCACTTTCAATAGTACTTATTACAAAATTTAACATGCAGATTTTTGTGCTTTTGCCAGAGAAAATTTTGTTAAATAGGTAAGATAAATATTTTGCTATTCCAATGGGGTAATTTGTTTATTTATTACAGCTAAGTATTTAAAAAGCCTATCTAGCTTGGGAGAGAGACATTCGGGGGAGGACTTTCTTAAGGAAACTTTCTCATATGGAAATAAACCCCACAAAAATTTCCATACAGCTAGGCTATTAAACTGCAAACAAAACTCGAAATAACTGTTAAAGTTCAATGCATTTATCCACTTGGTAGTTGTATTTCTAATAAAAAGCTTAATTAAAGAACTGTTCCCTTTTGCTAACTGCAATTGAAAAGTGCTATATAATGCTGCTGCTGTCATGTAGGAGGTGGTAAAAATCGCCATTCGCTGGTAATGTGTGCACTGGTCACAGATCATCAGTTCTGCAGATGAAAGTTATAATATTATAAGGGAACAGAAGGAAACCATTTATGCAATGGACAATGATGGTAGGAAGACTCACAGTATGTTGCACAGCACAGAGTTGCCTCAAATTAGACTCAATTAATCGTTGAAAATATATATGCCGACTTTGTTTTGCACTACATAGGTCACTGAGCATCAAAACTAGATACTGAGAGCTGGAAGAACTGCATTATGTTGGATGCAACTCGTCTACTTTTGCTCTGTGTGGTTAAAAGTAGGTCCAATTACTAATAAAAGAAAAATGTAATTTTCTACCACGAATTTTAATGTCAATGCAGTCCAGCTACTTTCTTTTAGGGTAATGACTTTCTCACAGGAACTGTTTTTTTTTTTTTTTTTTTTTTTTTTTTTTTTTTCTACAGAATAATATGTTTTACTACATTACTTCATACACTCAGGAATGGCTTGATGAACACCAAAAATTCCAAATACTACTTTGATTTCCTGATTTCTCAGATATCAGTGCAATTGAATATTTTTGGGATGTACTGAAATGGCAAATCTAATGAGTCTCACATAACTTTATAAAAGAAGTGGGTTAAATTTCTGTTACTAACATACTAGTAAGTACAGTAATCCTTAAGATTTTCAAAATTTTTAAAAAGTGTGCAGCTAACCATTTTTACTGTTCAAGTTGTCAACACTTAAAATTAACTAAAATATCAGTTTTGTAGAAAATTCCTGTTATTTTGTTAGGTACTATTATCACAAAATCTTGGTAATGACAGTTTCACAAAAAGAAGAACATTTCTGTATTACTAACTAATGGAAAAATATTCACAGAATAGTATTACATTTATGTACTTAAATACATAAAATCAAGCACACAAAGGGAAAATATTATTAAAGATCAAACTAAATTAAGATGACAGAATTTTAAGATATTTATAAGCAATTTAGCCTCAAAGGTTAAAAAAAGGTCACTCAACAAAATAACACTTGACTGGTGCTGCAAATTTAAGGCATTTCACTTAAACCATTAGCCTTTTAGCTTCCCAATATTTGGAACACTACAATTGAAACCCTTAAATGCAATGTGCCTATCTATATTCATTCCACTCCTAAATTGCTCAGAGTTAAAGTACGAAGAGTCTTTAAGTCGTCTTAAATAAATAGATATTAAGATATTTGTGTTTAGTTATCATGAGAAATAAAGCAAAATTTGATCAGTAAAGAGAGCTTGCAATAATGTAAAGCTTAAAGGACTTCAAGACCTTTCCCCTAGTTTCATTAGATTCATGATAGAATAATATTTATAACTTGAGGAAGTTATTTTCTTTACAGCAAATACCGCAGATATACAAATGCCCAGAAAATTGTGCAATTAAGAGAACAGCTATGGTTGCAGCAGCGATGTCACTACCATTTATTACAGAGGTATTCAAACTTTATGGTAGTGTGACTCCATAAAAATGAAAGTGACCCTTCAAAAGCAATTTCACATGCAAAATTCTGCCACAGGTCATGAAATGTAAAAATGCATCATTTGGATTACAAAATCAGAATATTTGAATCCTTTATTTAAAACTTACAAAGATAAAATATGGTTTATGTAATCACATAGCTAAAATAAATAGAAAATATTTTTAAAGTTAATATTTACCTTGTTGAAATATAAAACTTTTTGATTCAGCATGACAAACAGAAACAGGCGGATGATGGCTGACCTGGGAAATAAATTAAAAAACTTATATGATTCAAATACAAATATTAAAAAAGACAGAAGAAAAGTACAACTTCCAGTCCAGACCAGTCCAGAAAACATTTTTAAACTCAAACTACATGTAAAGATACTTTAGCAAAAAATATTATGCATGGCTAAAAAATTAAGCTACAGCCACAAAATTTGGCATGCAAACCTCATTTAAAGACATATGAAAATGATTACGTCTCTCATTCAATGCACATGAAAAAAAGGTCACATCATGAAGCAATGAAAACAGCTGATGTTTTTTCTCATAAGAGTCCAATGGCTAAGTGGCTAGAGTGGCTGACTACTGTTAACTCATTTCAGATTTGCATCCTGGCAAATCGAATCGCTGCATGAGTATTTTTGTAGTTTTCCCCATGTATAATGTAAACATGAGCCAATATGAGAAACAATTCTGATTTACAGAAAGCCCACATCACAGACCTAAGGGAAGCCATTGGGAAAAGCTGATAACCAGTTATCAGGTTGTAGTGATATGGCAATTACTAGTTCAAAATACCGCAGATATACAAATGCCCAGAGAAAATTGTGCAATTAAGAGAACAGCTATGGTTGCAGCAGCGATGTCACTACCATTTATTACAGAGGTATTCAAACTTTATGGTAGTGTGACTCCATAAAAATGAAAGTGACCCTTCAAAAGCAATTTCACAACTCCAATCAAAACATCAATCTTTAATTATATACCATCAATTTAGAATTTTTATCTACCTTGTGATTCCCACTAGAAATTTTTGCGACACTACATGGGTCCCCCCTAAAAACCCTTTGAATACCATTGGTCTATTAAAATGCATTTGCTATCCTCCATGAAACCTAGTATAGTAGCAACAGGTATGATTCATTGAAAATTAGCAGAAATAATGGCAATTGTTAAAAGGGCTGGAAGTAACCTCCAAACATAGGAAGTAACTGAATTGGTATTGCTCTCAGGCATGTTGGGGAATAGAGTGCCTGACTGCAAGTTCTTTAGGGATAAACCCTACTTACTTCTCTGTCAGTGCTGTTAACCTCTGTCTACATATATGCAGGAGTAGCCAATGTTCTGATCCTTCATTTGTGTCAAGCTGCACCCAACCATCATATTTGGCATGGCAGTCTAGGTAATCTTGGATCTTAATCTTGGGTTCGTCAGTCTTCGTTTCTCTAGCAAGACAATATGATAACTTTCATAGACATCAATGGCACTCTGCTGCCAGAGTTGATGCAGGTGTACGAGGTGGAAGAATTTGGATGGGGGGCAAGATTTAAATTTTTTTTTTAATTTAGGCAGTCAGCAAGTTGCAGAATTTAGGAGAAGCAGCAATTGTACTGGGCAGCCATTTTAGACATTTTTTAGGCAGCCATTTGGCCATATCTGCTGTCAATTGTACAACCCATGCTGTCAAGTTGCCCAGGTGATGCTTAACAATAAGACAATGTTCAGCCACATACTGTATGATTTTTCCTAGTGACTTCTTCAAGGATTTAATACCCATCCATGGATATCTTGTTATCCTGACCGCCCATCAAAGAACACAACTGGGACATTCTGAGAAGGCAACAACAGCCTTTTTAGAATACTATCAATGTAGCTAACCAGTTGCAAAATTTGTTACAGACTTCAGTACTTAATGAATTTATACCACACTAAATATCAACTTCCATAGTTAGCTGGGAGGATTTAATGCATACCAAAACGTAATCTTGTGACTGTTTTTAAATAAAATGCTTTACCTTTCCTCCAGCATTTGCATATCCCCACAAACAATCGGTACATGCAAGCTTTGTGACTGCGACTCAATACTTTATGAGTTCGTATACTTTTGCAGTGGAATATACATATGTAGATATTCATTCATACATCAGCATGTGCATGGGATCTGTTAAGAATTTAGTAAAAGTTACAGCACCAAAATATAGAGAATAATAAATTGTAACAGAATAAATGTAGCACTAATTGTTATCCTGGGCAATAAGCAGAATAAAAGAATTATAAGATGCTTAAATTTCAATTGTCTTGATTTCAAATGGCTCATGAAACATTTAAGGATAGATAATCTAATTAATTATCTGCCTCACTAATTATAACCAAGATAATGCTATGACTATCAAGTAAGGACAGTTATGCTACTCTGAATAGTGACTATTAGTAAAATCATCATATAGTCTTCTTTTCATCAGTTTACTCCTCAGTTTTACTCATATATTAGCATCAACATTTGTATGCCACTTCTGCATGTAATAGTGGATGCTCACTCTTATTCTGCTCTCTGTATTAGACAGGAGAGCAGCTTGCAAGCTTCCAGATAAATAATAATCAAACTCCCTTACACAGCATCTCCCCAATGCTCTACTGCGAGGATATACAGATTAAAATTTCCATGCACTGTAGAATCAGACCAAATCCCTGGGTGCTAGAACTTATCTCTGAGACATACCATCACAAGAAGCTTATGAAAGTGATAAACAGACTGGTTGTCATGCTACCATCGGGATGATCTATGCCATTACCCTCCGAGACAGCATAGGCTGCCCTTTTGGATAGTGGGAACTGGGCTCATATATTTTATGTCCACAGAGCCAAGACTGTCAGAGTATATTAGGCTAGGGGTCAATGTATTAGTATAAGCTCTTTCTTATTAAATTTCTGCTTCTTGCTTTAATGCACAAAACAGTTAAAAGTAAACTAGAAGTTTTGTCTTCCATTAATTACCTGTTCTGCTATAAATTGAAAACCTTTATCTTCTCTGATACATTCAAATGTTTCTCCTAAAACAGGATTGAAAGGTTTATGGCCAGCCCGGTGATAGGATGAGCTGTATGCAGATACTGCAAATGCAGCTATATATACCTGAAATAAGTAAGAAAATAAGATACAAAATCCATGCAACAAAAACAGAGTATTTGACAGGAAATTTAAAAACAAATTACCATTCTTTCATATTTATCAGCAGTCTCTGCAGCTTTATCTAACAGCTCGCTATACTCTAGTTCTTCACATAAGCGCTGAAAATTACATCATTTTAGAATCGAGCAAATGCATATGCTTTCTAAAGTGTTCAAGTTTTACAATTACTACAATAAAATAGTACTGTACTCTGTTGCATTAAAGCACAGAGATAATTTATTAAAGCAAAGTTAAGAGATAATTGATTAAAGCAATAAATTATCTCTTAACAGGAAAAATATTCTGAATTATAATGAACTGTTGGCACACATAAAAACCTAGCAATATAAAAGAAAATTAAAAATTAAACAGAAGCATGAAGATGTTTTATAGCCTCTGGATCTAAACCATAGTTAAAAATTACTTATCTAATAAAAGTTAAAAATTATTATTTCAAAAGAGCTAATTAGAATAAAACATGACAGACTTAGAACTATTTTTATAAGACAGCTTGTGATTTCAAACCAAGTAGCTATAATAATATAAGGTACCCCATCAGTTCCAATGCTGTTAAGATGTAATATACCACAATATGGTCCCTTCCTATTGCAGACGAAAGAAATATCTCATATGTATCTGAATACGTTTCTTTACATCACTGAATGGCTTATGAAAATGCTAGTATTAACAAATGGATAACTTTCACGTTAAAAAACTATTGTTATCCTCCATCATTTATTACAATGAACAATGGAGGATGATTTTTTAGCTCCTTAAAAAACAAGTGGACAAATCTCGCCTCAAAATCATTGCTTTTATTTGTCATATATTCCAGTGTATGATAATAGATTCATAGAAATATACAGAAAATAAAAGCAGAAGCCTTGACAGCAGAGTTGTTGATTAATAACTGCAATCTGCACGAGACCTATCACAATATAAACAAACAAGTCTAAACATGTCTTTAGGGAAGTTCAACGCTGAGTGACAAATGCAGCATAGCTTCGGGAAGTCATCAAGAAACATTCTTTATTATTACTGAACTGCGAAAATTTGAACAATTTAGAAGCACAGAAAAAAGAACTCACAATAAACATGCCACAGGAAACCCTGATCATGAACTATGATGCTGTGCAAATTTAATCATTAATTCATTAAAAAAATAAACTATGTCTTACAATGGGGACCAAAAGAGTTCAGGTGAGATTAAACCCTCAGTTTATAAAATTGACACTGATTTGCTGTTAAGAAAAACTGAAATGCAGCACATTATACTTTACTAGACAAACATTTAACATGACATTTATCAAAATCACAAGACATACCAATTTGTGGAAAGCACCTATACAAAGAGAGAATACGACACTTTTATAAGTACAAAATGAATACACACATATATAGATAAGAATAATATAATCCAAAGACACGAATAATACAGATAAAAATATTGATAAAAATAAAATAAATATAATAAAAATCTAAAGATAAGAATAAATTTCAAACAATTAGAGATGAAAATAAATTAGCTTCACAGTTCCAACATGAGTCAAAAGTTACAATAACTGACATTATAAAACATATTTGCAGTCTTAAAGATGTAAAAAGAAATTGTCAGCTAGAAAAATATGGCTCTCTAATGCGAATAAATATTAAATAGTCACTGCAATTTGTATCTTAATAATACATCCTCTGGAATGCTTAACCCTAGAACGGTGGAAAGGGTCATTTTGACCCCTGAACGTTTTTGACCGTTGATTACTTTAGTTTTATTGGAAGAAATAGTTTGAAATATTTTTACTTTTCCTAAATAAATAACAAATATTTGTAAAAAAAAAATTCAGCATTCTAGGTTTGTTAATTTTTTAAATATTGGCATGTATTCCTAGAACAGCGGACATTTTGACCCCTTTACTTTTATCCCTCTTTCTGCTCGAGGCATTGTCAAGTAACCCATGAAAAACATTCGCTAATACAGATTTTTCGATTGCATTTATACTAACTCCCAGAAGGATAAAAACCTGGGTGGTCTCACTACTTTGTAATGTCTACATAAATTGTTGTCCCTTTGTTTGCAATTATCTATTCGTTTGAAGAAAATACTGCAAGGAAGGTAGATGCAGGGTTTTTCATGCTTACATTTCTTTTCAGAAATAGTTTATTTTATAGATGTATTTTCCCATTTGTTAGTTCAGCTTACTTACTGTAGGTAATAACAGTTAGGACAGATGTTTTCTTGGTAATCCCAAATCAATATTTCAGACCATACGAATTCTGCCGTTAAGTTCATTATCACCTTTCCTTTACGCCGTAAGAACCATATGCTAAAATATATTTCCTATTGTTTTCTGATAGTCTGATATTTTTCTACTTTTTTCAACTTTAACAAAATATGTCTAATAAAGCAGAATAGAGGTCTTATAGATGAAGAAATTAAAAAATTGTTGCAGGAGCTATCTGAAAATGAGTCTGACGGAGGTGAAATTGATCACTTTTTTGTAGAATCTGAAAATGAAATCCTATTAGTGTATCCGAGGACAGCGAAGTAAACAAAGAACTCAGCAGAAATAAACGAGCAAAAACGGATCAAGGTATTTGCAAAACTGTTTTTACAGCTCCTGATAACACTATATGGAATGGTCTGCGGCCGTGTTTTTGCTTATAATGTTCTAAAAGAAAAAGCAGGGCCAACATCTTTTGCAAAGAGTCGTGTTTATGAGGACAAAGTGTCTCGTGCTTTCAAGCTTTTTAATTGATGATGATATCTTGCTGCATATAAAGTACAGAATCTGAACCTCAGCGGCAACTTGGAAATAAACACTGGAAGTTATCTTTGGCTGAGTTAGATGCTTTTGTCGCTATATTGTACGTTCGAGGAGTAATAGGAGAAAAGGGCTTAGATTTATATTCCTTGTGGTCTGAAGCGTGGAGAATAGAATTTTGCAAAAAAACTGTATCAAGAGATAGATTCAAAGAAATAAAACGATTTTTAAGGTTTGATGGAAAGACAACAAGATCTACTCGGTCATAGACTAATAATTTGCTCTTGCATCAGACATGTGGAACAAATTTACTGAAAACTGCAGAACTTGTTACCGGCCAGGACAAAATATTACAGCTGATGAACAATTATTCCCATCTAAAGCTACACGTAGATTATACAATATATGCTTAATAAATCTGACATATTTGGAATAAAATTTTGTTTATCTGTCAACGTTGATACTAAATACCTCTTGAATGGATTTCCTTATCTAAGAAAAGATGAAACAGCAAATCCTCAATTACGTTTGTCTGAAAATGCTGTCATAAAATTAACAGAGCCACATCTAAACAAAGGGAGGAATATTACCACAGGATTTTACTAGCATTAAATTAGCAGAAATGCTAAATCGAAAAAAACTATGGTCGGCACATGAAAAAAAACAGAGAGAAAATTCTATATCTTTGAAAAATATGCACAGTAATCTTTATTCATCGACATAGTGAACAGTTTAATATCAGACTTACCATCTTCAGGACAAAAAACAAAGCGTTTACGACTGAGCTCATTACATTCGACTGTAAAACGAACAGTTTCAAGAAGTGCCCGATTGAATAGCATTTACAACGCAACAAAGCATGGTGTGGATATTCGTGATCAGATGTGCCGAAAATATTCAGTTAAATCGGCTTCTAGACGATGGCCTGTACATATCTTTTTCAATATTTTGGATCACACAGCTTTGAACACCTGGATAATTTATAAAAGTGTAACAGGAAACACAATTAACAGAAGAGATTTTCTACTGAAATTAGGAGAGGAGTTAAGAGTGGCACATATAGCTTCAAAACTCTGAAAGATCCTTCTTGAGTCTTCAGAAAAAAACACATAAAAAGAAAATGGATATAAAGAGAAAAAAGTGTTAAGTACAAAGATGCAATGGAAACAAATCTCAAGAATATTGTGCACCTCGTTCCAAAGTTGTGTGCGGAAAATGCACTGAAAAAATTGTTAAAAATTAGTTTTGTAATTTGTAATATTTTACACACTAAATAGAATTGAAATGAAATGCTTTACATATTCCATTCAGCTACACATATAACTGAAAGATCGGAGAACATTTCTCATTTCTGAATTTAGAGAATGAATCATCCTCCGAGTAAGTACATGAAAAAATATTATTATATGAATTGTGTTTTATTTTAGTAAATTTTATTGTAACCATTTTGAAATAATCAAAATCAACTTAATGGTAAGTAAGTAGTATGATCCAATTGATTGCCATGTACTCGATACATTTACAATATTTTAAAAAGTCGATTAATTGTCATGTGATACTAAATATAAATTATGAAATACGTATAAAGTACATATTTGTGCCAATATATGGCATTTAAAATTGTTTTGCTGTTGTTATTTCAATACTTTCATCGAAGGGTTAAAAATGACCCCTTACCGCCGTTCCAGTAGGTAAGATTTTCCAGCCGTTCTAGTGTTAAGTATGTCATGAATCCCTTGCTTAAAATGAAATTTGAAGACAAAATAAAATATAACTAGATACAGTAATAACAGTAATAATATATATCCTAGTTTCAGCTAGTTGATACTATTTTTATGACAGCACCAGAAATTTTGAAATTGTTTGGTAAATGGTTGGTAAATTGTTTGGTTATGTAGAATGCTTGAAAAATTGTCAAGCAAATGATCTCATGAAAAAGGAAGTTCCCCCCCCCCATGAACACTGTGTGTGTGTGTGTGTGTGTGTGTGTGGGAAGACAGTTCTATATCTCCCACTCTAATGGGCAGATTGATGAAATTCAAATTGCATTTTTATGTCTCAAAAGCGCAACTTAAGATATATATTACATTTATATATAACACTGTTCTAATATAGGAATTTTGACACAAAATCGGACTTTTTTAAATGACATGCAATTTTTTCGGTATTTCGATTCTACGACTCAAATTATGCCTAAATATTAAATTTTGTAAAGTTTGGTGCAAAATTTATGGAGGAATTTAAAAATTTATCTTGTCACATTTTTTTTTTCAGTTTGCAACAAGAATAAATTCACTTGGCGAACTTCTTAATTTATCGATAGCAACCTATTTTCTTTTCTTTTTTTTTTTTTTCATTGC